CAGTGGATAAGGAGGAAGGGGTCCGGTATGAGCGCAGCTGCAGGGTCCTCCGTTCCTCCCCCATTTTCATGGCCCGGATGTGCCCGGTCGGCCTTCGTTCCCCGGTTATCAGTTTTTCTGTCCTCCACAGGCACCTTTTCCGGAGGAAAAAAACTTGATGTGCCTACGTATAGGTATATTTGCTGATAACAACAATAGCTGCCATCAAGCCAAAGAGACAGGCACTGCTAGCTTGTCAAAAATATAATAGTGGGTCTAAATTTTGAGTCCGTTAAGTTTAAGCGCGCCGACCGCTGTAATCCAATCAGCAGTATGAGGAGTTCAATTTGAGTTGAAAACGATGTTGTTCCAATAAACCCTCTCTCATTATTTCGGAGTTATTAAAAATTAGATGAGGAGCTTCAAAATTTTTAGTCGCACGAACTTCCACCCAATCCACTCTCGCTATTTATCGCAGCAGATGTCATGCGTAAAGTTACGATGTTCATATTTTATAATGCATTTACACCATGTCATGGTTCCCCCTTCGCCTCATTGCCTCTTGTTCCATCCTCGTCAATCTCTTCCTTTCACTGCATGTCATAGTCATTGTCCGAACATTCAGCGTTTCTGGATCATCTACGTCATCCCCTTCTTCTTCTTCTTAAAAGTGCGTCATATTGACTATTTTCGCACGAGCCATGGCAATACTCGCATATAAGACTGCAATGAAGGCCTTCCTTCCAAAAACCGCGGGCGCCGCGACTTTCTTCAATGCACTTGCACGAGATCTTGCTTAAAATTTCGCCCGTAGCGGGATTTTCCAAGGTGATGATGGGGATGAGGCCATTTCTGCCATTCTGCCACCCCCCAGTCACACGCGTATTTCTTGATGATCATCCATTGCTATGTGCTTGAGGATAGGAGCATGAAATGTGGCAGCATCCTCTGAAGATGGAAGACAAGCGAGATTTTGTACATCGTAGAAAAAAGTCCGTACATAGCTTTCATACCTAAATTCAGCCAAAGTTTTTTTTCTACTCACCCTTGTAGCCAAACGATCCGAGTAAAAATTATTTTCCTGCTTTACAAATTTCTTCTTGCTTTAAGGCTGATTTTTTAACCATCTGAGTTGGCTGAGTGGTTTTCCAGGGTTGCTAAAAACTTAACTTTGGCTTGTCTGAAGAGTGGTGATATTGTGTCACACCCACTAATGGCATGAATGAACAGTACGTGTTCGGCTTTCACTTCATTTTGAAGGCTGCCTCGGTTGAAAAGTATTTAAAGAGTCTCACCTGCGCCGGATTTTAGAGGGAAAGCATTTTTGACGTTACGTGACTGAGCAGTAAGGAGGACAAGACGATCAATATATTTTCCTACAATGACAACAATTTCGCCCTGTTTTGCCGTTTCCAAGGCCTTTGAAACTATTTGATTGTGTCAGTGACCTCTTCTGCTTGAAACACAGACATGGTTTCAGCCCTGAAACGTTTCATGAGCCTTTGGATCAAACGGGATTTGTTTTTACCGCTTTTCAGAAAATTAGTTCGTGATGTTACTGGGACCATACTTTCATGGAATTTTATTTCCACTGATGAAGCTTGTCCTCTTCGCCATGTTCCAGGTCTTTTCGTGCTGCATCTTATAATATCCTTGGGATAGCCGCCGAAAACGATCACAGAATTAGCGGAACATACTTCGATTTTACGTAGGACACGTGGTTGTTGCATCTTAATGAAAATGCCTCATTTTGTCTCCAAATCACTCGATGGAGCAAAAAACGGACATCTATGACATAAGTAGGATTCTTGTCGTCAATTTTATCTACACACCGTGTAAATGTAAAAAACATATCATAAAATGTGGAATTCGCATGCTGTCTGCTAAGTTCAACAAAAGGGTAAAGGGTGAGAGTACGACAAAAAATGTTGAGGTTCCTAATCTGATTTTTTATTAGCAGTTATGCCCCGAAATAATAAGAGAGGTTTCATTGGAATAACATCGTTTACAACTCAAATTAAACTTCTAACCCGGAGAACGAAGGCCGACCGGGCGCACCCGGGCCATGAAAATGGGTGAGGAACGGAGGACCCTGCAGCTGCGCTCATACCGGACCCCTTCCTCCTTATCCACTGCCGTTCTTGAAAGTCAAGAACTCAAAATTGCACTCCTTTTATAATTCATACTTACACTTATTACGATTTAATGATTAATTACCTTGAAAGCTCTCTTTTTGCAGGGAATGTTACGAAAATTGCTCAACCTCAATACTTGCCTGAAACTTTGCAACGCTGTAACGGCATTTGTTATCATCCGATCTTAATCATCTTGGACTCTTTTGAATGGAAATTTTATGTACTTTAATTTAGAAAATAACTACTTTTGCCGTATTTTCAATAATATACGAGTTATTTCGGTTTTTCGGCCGAAAAACGCAAATTTCGGCCATTTTTTCAAGATGGCGGCTTTGGCTCGCCTCAGATTTGTTCGCAAATGTGAAATTCGGATTCAGCGATGAAAAATACATAAGAATAGTATATCAGAAAGTTTCCTCAGAAATTGTCTCTACTTTACCCCCTATTGACTGGACAGTGCCGCGCCGCCACATAAGGTCTTGATGATAAATATATGAATATACTCGATAAATTTCCGAACTTTATCTCCAAAGGCCTCCTACATTCCACCTGTGTATTGATGGGCATAACTATCTTTTACCTTCCAGTTGCCATGTCTTTAAAAATCTCTTTCCACTAAGGAGTCACCTTGTCAAACAAGGAATCAATTCTTCATGGCCCCAAGGATCATAATTAGTGCCCTTAGAATTTTTTAAAAATTTGCCCTCTTTTGAAAAATTTCATTTCACTTCATATGAGGCTATGAAATTTCCCTTTTTATTTGCAGGATTCTGTAACTGATTTGATGATGACAATTGCAAAATTAGACAGCAATGGTATAGAAATTATACCAGAAGGTGAGTCAAGCTCATCAAACAAGCATGGAAACTCCCCATCTTTAGTCGATAGTTCAACAGGACCCGGAGAAAACAGGCCCACTACTTCAAATATCTCTGCAGGTAGGTGTTTTGTTTTTTCTTCTTTTTTTAAGGATTACTCGGTTGTATTCTTGTCACTGAGAATTCATTTCCCTGTTTAACAAACTGATGGAAAGATCTGATAAAAGCGCATGTGCAAGTGGTTATTGAACAAGAAAAAGCAGCTCCGACTCTTTTAATTCCTGAGAAAACTTAGCAGAGTTTTTCTTTTTTTAACATATGGATTATGAACAGTTAGTTGCGCTTCTTTTCCTAATGTGATTTTTCAATTTTAAATTCAAATCAATACGATCATCTAATTCAGTGTTTCTCAAACAAAAATACGTATGTAACCGCAACTCAATGTTGCCAAATTTTCACTTGTAAACCTTATTTTTGCCAAAAAACTGTAGGGCATTTCTGATCACATGCAAAAATAAGCAAAATTTTGTATAGAAATTGCACACTTATATTTCCACAAAAAATCAATCGAGTCACTTTTGCAACACTGAATGTTCCTTTATCCTCTAATGTTCTTCTTCAATTTTATTACAGAAAAATTAAAATTTGACAGGAACTTCTATCTAAACAGTCAGACAGTTATTATTATTTCTGACGGAATTTATGGATTCCACATCAGATCTTGATATTAAGAGACATTACTACTCTTACCATCACTAATATTTTTAGCAGTTAGGGTCTACGACAAATTATATCTCGCTAAAATCCAAACCCCTTCCCCTCTGATCACACATGTGCCATTCAGATTTGAACGTTTGAAAAATAACGTTGAACTTCTGTGCACCCCTCTGTCATCAAAAAGTGGAGATCTGTTACCACTATCTTAAAACTTTAAAAACATTGAGCTTTGCGCCAATTTTTGTTAACATAATGCAATGTCAGATCATATTGACTGCAAACATATGACTGTAACGTATTTTATGGATCGCTCTTTTTTCTTCAAATCCTTTTTAAAATACAAAACACTTTGCCTCCCAGAAGGATTTTCTTTAAACTTACTATGTTCTATTCTGTCCGAAGGAGCTGCAACTGGATCAAATGATTCTCAGAAAGATGATCCTAACGAGGACTGGTGCGCAGTGTGTATGGACGGAGGAGAATTGGTCTGCTGTGATAATTGCCCAAAAGTATTCCACATCTATTGTCACATCCCAAGTCTCGGCTCAATCCCTGGGTAAGTGCCACGGTGTTGATTTATAATTTATTTTTAGGGACTGTTGGTAGGTAGCTAAGACCTACTAAGTTCTTAGTTTGACTTTTTCTCATGTCTTGCTTGAGGAAACCAAATCAATGAGAAATCAAAGAAGAGGGGGGAAAAGTTAAACTTCTCAGAGTCGGAATCTTACAGTTAATGAGTCAGATGAGATTTTTTTCTCTCGGTATAACAAAATTTGCCAACCTAAGAGAGATCCAAGTTTTACGACTCTAAGTTTTTTATGTGAGAAGAAAACAGAACCACATTGATGACTGAGCAGGTTTCTGATTTATACAAGAAACAACTTGGTGAGATTTCAACTCGTTCGCTTCGTTCTCAATGTCTGAGCAGCCCTAATAGATACTCATGATTTGTCTACACTATTCGAGTCATTGACATTTCATCGTATCAGATTCTCTGCCAGACAATTCATCACTGGAAAATTTCCCAAAGGATTTCCATTGTCGTCAGAGAATATAAGGAAAGGAGTGATTATTTTCAGCCAAAGTTTCTGCATACTGAATCGAGTGTAAAATTACTGACATAATATTTGGGTGTGTTTTCATGTTTTGGTTATAAGATTGGCATCAGCTATGGTAGGCAGGTGTAGAGACTAGTGACATGCGAAAGGGGGTATTTTTCAACAATTCAGCAGCTAGCAAAGATTAAGAATGAAGATAGAAAAATAAAAACAAAAGGAGAATCTAGAAGAGACATTTCGACGGTGAAACTACCAAACCACGTATCTCGGTTTGCGACGTCGCAGACTTCCTGTCATACTTTATTTTTTAAATGAAAAACTACTTAACATCCAGTCTTGAAAATTTCTGTGATTTTTCATCTTTGTGCGGAGAAAATTCCGTGAAAATTTCAAAGAATGATATTGATTTGGTCTACTTCAAAAAAATAAAATGTGAGCGTAGATTTTTAAACACCGCAAACGAGATACGTGGTTTGGTAGTTTCACCGTCGATTTTTAAGACTGGAAAGACATTGAGCTGAGGACTAAAAGTAAATTAAAGACTTAGATAAAGAATTCTTGACTTTTTCAACAATGGACCACTAGACAAGGTATGAATTTCAGCAGTCTGATACATGTTACTTAACCAAAATTTCACGTAGAACACGATGCGTACAACAAAAATTACCGCAATCAACTCCTTTAGAAGGTATTCAATGATTCTTAATGCTTGAATTCAAACCATCTGCTCATGAAAACTCAATGCTCCACGTGATTCACATTGCGCGCTAAACGTTATCATGACAATCTGTGTGATATAAAAATCTGACAACCTCAATCTTGACGCTTTGGCTCAGCCATAGCAAATTGCCTATAGTTTGAACAACACATGGTGGGAATAGAACATTGCTCGATTGAGAAGCTTGCTGAAACCGTTGCAGTGCGCGATTTGACTCACGTAGAGCTTTGAGTTTCTTGTGAACGGGCAGTTCAAATTCCTAGTAACCAATGTGAAATAAAAACGTTAATATCTTCATTAGGAGTTGGTTTCAGTAATTTTCGTTGTGCGAATCTTGTTTTACGTGAAATTCTGGTTCAAGGACATGTATCAGATTGCATAAATTCGTACCTAGTCTAGTGGTTCATTATTGCCTCAAAGCGTTCTTTAAGATAGATATAGACAGACTTAATAATTAAGAAATTTTGTTAAAGTTGGAAAATATGTTTCTTAGATATCCATTCGGTAACTTTTTTCCCCTTTGAAAGAGCCTCATCAATGTATTGTTTGTTGGGGAATTAACACATAGGAAACTGAGCTAGTAATGAAATCTTCAAAAGGTGAATTGTTGCCAATGAATTGTTCCGATCCTAAATTTTTAGGTATGATTTTGGTTTTACAATTAAAGTATCACTCTATCTCAGCAGCTAACTTTGCTTGTTGATGACCGAAAATGTAATATTGTAAATGTTGAGCCTGACACGTCTCCGTAAATGTTGAGTTTTAATCTTGGTTTTTAAATTTTTACAGGGAGACAGAATCATGGCAGTGTCTTCTCTGCACTGATATCACTAATTTTGTGGCCGAAGCTCAAAACTGCAAAAGTAAAAAAGTAAAAGGTAAATTATCTCCAGGGGAACAGAAATTGATGGAAAGAATTCTCCTAGAACTATACTGCCAGTACGATCCCAGCATGCACTTCAGAGAGCTGGTCCCACAATCCTGCGCCGATTATTACCAAAAAATTAAGAGGCCCATCTCATTAGACATGATCAGAACGAAATTAAATCCTAACTGTGAGTCGGGCTACAAAAGTGTAAGCGAAGTCATTGGAGATATCAGGCAAGTTTTCAAAAACGCTTATGAGTATAACGATAAAGAATCACAAGTGTACAGTGATGCCAAGAGCTTGGAAGAATTTTTGGATCAAATGTTGGAAAAGTGGCTTCCAGACTATGCTTATGATGAAGGACTCAGAACATCTGATGATCGGGACGACGACTACCATATCCCAAGTGATGATGATGAGAGCTCTCAGCCTGCCAAGAAGTACAGGCGTGTAACTTTAGAAGATGACGAAGAATGACCTACGGCTTGCTCTGAAAATTCGGTTTTGGAATCGAACCCCTCACCGCTCCCCAATCTCAATACATCTACCTCAGAACCCACTGAAAGTAACCCTGACCCCAAACCTGTGTCTAATCCCTCCCCCAAGTCCGACGCCAATGATACTCTCCTAGCTAAACTACTTTTGAAGAAAGAACCTACCGAGAGAATCCATTCCGAAATTTCAGAACCTCATCCAGTAGACAATTTTTCATCCAGCCCTTTTCTTGTTCATCAGAATAAGGAGCACGAATCAACAGAGTCGTCACATGGTAATGTGCCGCGTATTCCTGATAATTTTAATTTGAGCTTAAAGTTTGACTATGACTCGCGTCCTGTCTCGCTTGAAAAAACAAAATGTTTTCCGCAAGATAGAAACAATCCTATTCTAGACAAAAATATGGCTTGTCCCAACTTACCCAGCTCAGTTCCTAATTCTTTCCTAAGTCCGAGTCCTGTGTGCAAAGAGTGTCCTCCAGTTAACCTGGAATCTTTCCGACCAGTACCTCCTCGAAGAGTCCCCGAGGTTCCTCGGAACTATCTTGATTGCTGCAAAGTTTACCGATACCCAGTTCCTGTCAGCAGACCTCCGCCTCCTTTTCCTACTTTCTTCAGACCACCAATGCCATTGAACACCAATGCTTGCATAAATTTTCCCCCCAGCAAACAATGTTGTGTTGATTTCAATCCCAACCGATTCCACCACTCTGCTAACCAGGGCATCTTAAATAGGCCAATAATTCAGAATAGATTTGTATCTCCCGTTCCATACAGTGGTTTTCCGCAAAACAATTTCATCCCATGCACAGTTGCAAACTGTTCCAAAAGTTTTGGTCAAATGCCTGCCTTATCGTTCATGCACCAATCTCACTGTGAAGATCTTGATATCAAACCTCATCATTTAAACAATCAATCTAACTTTTCTCCTATGTAAATAAAACTGTAAAGTTCACTCTGTCATTAAAGGTACAGCATCAAAGGCGCCATAAACATGCCAAGGAAGTATCAGAGGTTGGATCATTGCATTTCACTCTGCGTTATTTTACATGAGCTTTTATTTGTTGGCAGCAATCAAGTAGGAGTGAACATAAAATAATCATCAAGAACCGCACAAGAAAAAGTTTAAAGCTGCGTAGATAAGAATTCACTTGCATGGCATTTTTTCTTGTAAATTTAATTTATGTGCAGGTGAGTCCTTATTTTCATGGTTTTGAGAATTCTGCTGTTCGAATCCCTGTGTATGATACCAAAAATTTATCATGTTTGACTTGGGCAAAACAGATTGTACATGCGCTTAAGATGCTGTATCTTCAAATCACTTAAGATTCAATACTTACTTGGAATCCATACTATCTTAAAAGCTGAAACTTAAAAAGAATGGATCATTTATTGTGATTTTTGCTGTATTTTCTGTGTCTGTTTATGTTGAATTCCGTGCAGCTGACTAGCCATCAAAGGGAAAATGCTTGGCATTAAATTTTTTCCTAGCCGTGTTTCTAGAATATTTTCTTTAAATATCTAGAATTTTAGAGAATTGTAATAATCGTTTAGACTAATTGCAGAAACAATTTTTTTTTTTTTTTTTGGAGGAAGCAGATTAATACTGAATTAAAATCTTGTTGAGCAGATCTGGTCATAGGCTATCAATCAATTCTGTAGGTAAGGTCAGAAGATGTCAGGTCTCATAACGGGTGATTACTGGTAGTTTACATTTATTGATCGTTTTTTACAAAATTGTGTATACATAAATTACCAAGGACAATTGGACGTATTTCTATCAAACGGACCTAAGCGCCATAGGGTGAGGAAGGTAGAGGGGGGCTTGGATTGGCGGCGGAATTGGGCGTCCGGCTTATTCCGTCCTATACTCGCAATGCAATTCCATGGCGCTTAGGTCCGTTTGACAGAACGCGCTATCCGGGATTCTAAATTCCTCAATAGGAACTCAAATTGGCGCTTAGTTCCGTTTGATAGAAATACGTCCAATTATTGACTCAGGATAGTTTCCATGTGAAATCGGTGTCAGTCATTCAAATCCAATGTTTTTCATTAATTTTTTATGGCGCTCATGTTTGCTCCGTAAAAATTAACAATCATGTGGTTAAGAAGTTCTTTCGCGTTTTGTAACAATCTACTTAAAAAATGAAATCACTGAAAGCATTAGAACTTGTGCTTTAATTTAAGTGATATCAGTGATTCTCTTTTTAATCTTGTCGCGTGCACTTGGAAAATGCAAGCATTATCGAATTATGATGCTTTGGCTTCAAGATTAAGGTTAACCTCTACAGAGCTTCCTCCTGTTTGTTGATAAATAAGTGTATAAGTGATGAAAAGGGCTGACATTATGCAGCATTTAAAGTGCAGTTTGCAAAATTTGGCCTCCAATTTTTAAGATCAAATAATTTTTTTCTTCACAAGTTTACCTTTCAACAGAATGCTCCTACAAGTTAAAGAATCGCATGCATCAAGACAGTTCATATGTTAGTGTGTGGAGAGTATATTGTCTGGTTACTGCTATGTTTCGAGCTTGGGGTCTAGGAAATCGACTGTATTAATTTTCGAGTGGTTTCTGCAGTTGAGTCTGCAGGTTTATTTTTTCCATGCAATGATTGTTAAATAAGTACTTTCTTTATCTGCTACCAGAGTAGCCCTGGTAAATTTGCAATCACTTATCTTTGAATGGAGTTAAGAGTTTACACAAAAATAATGCTTAAAATGTAGTAGAAGTTTGTAGGATATAATAATTTGTTCTCATTCATCCATTAATCTTTTCCCCTTATCAAATTATTAACTTTCAAAACAGTGAGTTTATGTTTTCACGAACAATAGGGTAACCCAAGAGCTAGACAATAATTAGTGACAAACTCGTGTCATCAGTTTTGACCACTTTTTGCACTTACATGGAAAATGGTTGTCTGCCATGTTATGGCTCATGCTACAACATGGCAGCCGACCATTTTTGGCTTTATTGACTGCGACCACTCAAAACAATAGCCTTACGCCTATTGTCTTAATTGGTGAAAACTTGTGTCGGAAGTTGCTCATTGAATAGCGTTTGGCTCTCGGACCAGAGAGATGGAGGTGCTTTATTTTTAGTGAATCATTTTGGCACAATGCTCAATATTATCATACATGCCAGGTAAATAAAATGATGCTTTTGATCAAAATTCAAATATATACAATGTTGGAAGAAGTCGGTTTAATTTTGCTTCCACCCTTGAAAAATGTACGAAATTTCATTACTTTTTGTTCCTTCCTTTTAAACTCTTCTGCAAATTGTTTTATTCTGTGTTTAATACCTAAAAAATTAATGCGCCAGGCCATGCATCTTTCCTTTCTATTTAAATCAGCTCCTAATCTCTTTTTCGATCAAAATTTGCAAGCGCCCCTCCAATAAAAGAAGAAAAAACTGTTATCGTGACTGATGAAAAGTTTTAAATTTTCTGAAAGACATTTGCAATCGGCAGTAACTCATGGAAGCAATCCAATGATAATTTTTTATTATCTATTCCTCTTAATGGAGGTATGTAAGATCGCCAGTCATGATCAAAGATAAAACATCTTTTCTGTTGAATAATACTAGACCTCTCAGTGTGTATTACTTTTATTGCATTATTGATGAGAAACAGTAACGCTTGAAATATTTTTTTTTTTTGAAAAAAAAAAAACACCTGAATAAAACAAATATTTTTTGTTTTTGAACTCACGATCAAGAATGGTTAAGTATTCCCTCGGAAAAGAACAAATTATGAGTAGTTTTAATTTTGTGAAAATTAGAACAATAATGGTTTTTACGCATTAAAAATGATTACTTGTTCAAAGATGTGGAGACAGCATTTGCAACTAGAAATGAAGTTAAGCTTATTTGAGCAATACTTCGTGTCGAGACAGAGTAGTAAAGCTCTTAGCAAACTCTTACTTATTGATAGAAAAGCGGTATAATAGGAAATTTTCTGAACTTTATAAAGAAGAAGTAACAATCGAAAGATTTTCATCTGATTTCGTTCTGAAAACCTCATCGGCCCCCTATCCTAGATGCAGTGCTGCATTGATTTTTTCTCTTTTGGTTCTTGATGCAAGTATTCCATATACATGTATTTGCCTCCATTTTAGATGTCTATCAATCATATTATTTTTCGAGCATATGAATAGGAAAGAAATGAGTGAAAACTATTTATAAGTCTTTCTGTTTTCACATTGATTATTATTTTGAAATCAGTATTTCTGTTTAAGTAACTATGATTTTTTGTTTTTCTCCTTCTTTCAAACGTTTGAACATAACAGTGTATTAGCACTTTCTGTGTACAAACTCAGCAACCACTCTCTGCCTGTCTAATGTGACCATCTATTCAATCTCAGAAGACAACATTCAGCTACACATCAAGCTCTCTCACCGCGGCTTGCTACATTTTTTTTCCATTTCGATGAAAAGGAATAAAAGTGGATCAGTAACTACGCATATATTTTTACGAAATCAAGAAATTTAATGCAAAAATGTCTACTATCGGACTTGAAGAAACCAAATATGAAGTGATTTCTTTTTCGTGTTGTCTACTTCCATCTCTTTGTCCATGCCGCTAACAGGACTGTATTTTTCTCAAAAATATTCTTCAGTGAAGGCTGAGCTCGGTCAAGTAGCTGACAAGATAATGGTTAAATTAGATGGAACAATGACTGTTTGTGGAATTTTTGTGTACTCGTAATAGATGTGCATGAAAATTAAAGCTCTGTTTGCCTACTAATTACATCTAATCGTTGTAGAACAGTGTTTATATGTATGTATTTCCTACCAGTTTTAGTCTACATAGAATTGAGAAAGAGCCTGGGCTGGAGGTAGATTAATCCCTAAGCGTAGTGCGGGAGGGAAAACACCCCTCCTCCCTCACCTTTTGCAAGCCCTTCAGCCCCCTTGTCTGTTTGACTTAAACAGAAAATACTGCAGAAGTATTACATGTTCGAATGTTGGAAAAAAAAAACAAAGAAAAAACAAGGAAAGTCGGGTTTCCATGAAGCGTATACATATTTTCTCTCTCCGTTTTGTATCTCTATCTCTTACCCTATTTATCTTTCTCTTCTTAGCACTAATAATGTAGAGAAGATACAATATCAAAGTACATCCATAACGCATTGAATTTTGTCCAAAAAAGGACTGGTACCTGCTCGATTTTGTATTCAAAATTCATTGGACAAATTAGCTTAGTATTGTCTTGGAAGATACATTTTTAATCGACAAGTACAGGGAATTTTTTTAGTTATGCGGTAGACTTGGTTCAGAATTTGTTAGTCTCTTCTTCTTTTTTATCCATTTTATCACTCTTAAACTACCTAAATACGTATTGGATCGTTAATATTTGATACTCCTACAAATGTCTTCTCCTTGAACTAACAAAGGCTCATTCTTCAATTCTCAGGTTTATCTGATGTAAGTCTACTTTTTTCATAGATTTTCTATCTGAAATTGTCAAGTGAATGCACGGAACAACACTCGACAGAGGTAAAACAGTTTTCCAAGTGTGTGGATATTTTTCTTAATGGGTCTTTTCTACCTTTCGTTGTCACTGTTTTCGCCGCGACAAGATTTTTTTAACATATGGGATCGCTTGCTTCCCTCTTCTTTAAGTAGGCATATTCTTAATCGCATGAAAAGACTTCTCCTGTGCACAGGACACTTGTGTACTTCGTTTATCTATTGCAGCTAATGCAAATTTAGTTTCAGTGTTAGTTATTAAAACTTTATCTCTGAAAGAAGAGGGAGTTAAATGTATTTCGTTTTTATATGCTTTTCTACCAGATCTTCCTTCTCTGTTTTAAATTACTGTAATTGATATTATCAATTCTTTATTCCTTCCCTCCTTGTTTTTTATTATGAAACTACTTGTTTCATTTCATTTTCCTTTAAAGGTATTAATAGTTTCATTTGTTGATGTTAAATTTTATATGATTATATCTGTTGTAAATATGTATCAATCGGGGAAGTATCAGTTGATTTATTTCTTGTACAAAATTTTTCCCGGGCAATGATCGCGTTCATTTAATGTTTCATATTTCAAAATTGTTGACCTATTTATTACGTAATATCATTATTTTATTCTTATTATTTTTGCTGTCGTCATTATTTAATATTTAAAAAGAATTAATATTACTCTTACTTTATCATGATAATTTATTAGCATTACTGTGTCTAGTACTTTCATTCTTTGGATTACTATTGCTATTTAATAAACTCTACTTCTAAAGATGACTTTCAACTCTCATTTCATTCTCATGCTCCTTTTATGTTATGCAGGGAAAGTTAGATCAAGGTAAGTCAAACGAGGGTATGCTCTTCCCCTACTCAAGCTTTCAAAATTGACTTAACACTCAGTTGCGTTGCTTTTGATTTAGTCTTGTCGGAAGTTTGTCCCAGGCGAAAAATCAGACCAATAAGATTAAATTTTGCATGACTGGAACCCGTTTGACAATGTCGGAAGAGAAATGCAGACCAATGAGAAATGAATATTGTGAAATTGGGAAAAAACCAATGCGACTAAGTGTTTTGTCAATTTTGGGTGGTTCTTATTCTAGGAGCATACCTTTATTTCAATTACCTAAAACTTAAGGTGCTGAAAAGTAAATGTTCCAGAAAATAAAGAAGAGATGTAAACTAACTTCAAAAATTTTGATCAAATATAGGTAATTATTTAAATAAATACATTTTTACAGATCTTAGATTAATCAAATGAAACAATAAATTATTTTCATACATACTAAGTAACAAACAAAATAAGAGTCAAAGTGTAGGTTTAACTTAAGTAGGCCTGTATGATCCGTAACAGACTGCATTTACATTTTAATAAATAAGAAATTATACTGGCACAAGGGCAGTAGGTAATTCAGGACTGACAGATTTGAGCTTAATTGATGACAAATTATTTTTTTTCTTTCCATGCATAACTCCAAAAGGACGCAAACAATATAAGGAAAAATTAACCTCTGAGGTAAAAGATTGATCGAATCTCTAAAAGCTTGGAATAGTGAGTGTCACAAATAACTGATGCAACTTGAAAAAATGAGATTCGTCCATCCTACAATTAATGACCCACAAAATTCTGGTCTTCTGAACTTCCTTTTTTCTGACAAAGATGCTGATTGTTTCAAGGAATGAAGTTCCTTCACCTTTTTTACTACATGTTTCCTTTCCCATTTCAGCTTTTGTAGATAGCATAGGCTTTGGTCAGCTTTTTTTGTAGTTGTTGAACTTCTGATTTGGTGACCTTACAAGAGTGGATTCAATCGAATACAGGAATTGCCTAAAAAAATCCTATGTGGAGAAACTTCTTTCCAATGAGTGTGTACAAATAGAGTGATGGTGGTATGAGTGCAAACTACATTGAATTCTTTGTCTCTCTTTTTACTTCTACTCAAAGCAATTCAGCAAGAAACCAGAAAAAAGGAGGAAAACAGGGCCAAAGATATTTTTGAAAAATTGAGGCCAAATATAGTTTAATAGACTTATAGACGTGCAAATGCCCTCAGTTTCATTACTGATAAAGAAGTTTCAATTCAATGAGGCAATGGCTTATTAAAGGATACTTCCTATTATGTTTGACCAATTCATATAGGTTTGGACCCGTAACAGTAAAATCAGAGCAAATTAAAAGTAGAGAAGACAGAATGATAATGTATTGATTGGTTTTCCTGGGAAGAAATAAAGTTCACAACATGGCAATATCAAACTTACAATGGTTTTGAGCTCAACTGCAAATGCACGAGGGTAAGTCACATCACAATTACTGAATTTTTGATATACTGAAACTAAACTTCAGATTATCTAAAGGGAACAACTTATAGGGGCTGATATTATTTCCTGAATTTCTGAGTTTACTTGGTGAGAAAAAAAAATCAACGTATTTAGAGCTTGTTTTTGTCAACAATAACACTTAACTTGCATTACTCTGAGAATATTAATCACATTAAAAAATAAAAGCTAACTGAATTGTTGTTTCTCAAGTAAAACTGAGGCCATCTATACGTTAATGCTTGTGCTAATTACACATGCTGAAACTTTAAAATAAGTACGTGAAAGGAAGTATTGGAATGTAACAAAATTAAATTGAGACCCTACAGCGAAACAAAAACACTGGATCTAGCTGTTCATTACATTAGCTAATTGTCCAATAAGACTTCAGTTCTACTGCGTTGGATTTTGATCATTTCAAAGATTTTTTATTCATTGAAAAATAAATTATTTTTAACAGTGCGAAAAGTTGATGATAAGTAAGATGAGATTGTCTAGAATCTGCTGACAACCAAGGAGCTGTATTTAAAAATAGGTACGTTCACTGTCACCAAACAGTATGTAGGGGGAAAAAATTTCAGTCAAATGTTATGTTGATGATCCTTCCTTCTGTTCTGGAAATGTGCAGTGAAAACTTTACAAGCCAAAATCGATCAAATGAGATGAATTAGATTTAAAGGAATCACTGATGACTTTATATTTTAAATCACGAGGATAACATTACCAAAGAAATTTAATTTGAATTCAAATCGTTTTAACTTAAAAAAATTAGCCAAAAAAAAAAAAAAAAAAAAAAAAAAATGGATCTCTGATGGGTTATTGGATTCCAGGAGAACAATTTGATACAGGATACAATTGAGGACAGTTCCTGAAGGTGGCATGAAACTTAGGCGAGTGTGTTTTTCCTGTCCCCTTAATCTGGATGAGTAGGTAGTAATATTCGTACCTACGCAGCTGTTTTCCCAGACAGCGGCTGTTCGGAGAAATGAGCTTGTTCAGACTATTATTATGGGCCCTTCTTTCTGAGGCCTCCTCCGTTGCGAATCTAATTTAATTGCAGCAACTGTTCCCTATACTAACTTGTCCAGTAGCACTGACAGCGCCAAATCTATAAAATGTAGAATATTTAGGAGGGACATTTCTGAAAATCATCTGAACTTCTGCCAAGAAATATTCGTTCAAAAAATAATGCAAAATCGGAGGATATAAAATAAGACAAATTGAACAACTAAAAACTCAAAAAAAAATGTCTGATGTTAAAATGATGCACCTTATCAAATTAAAGTTAAGCACAGTGGTAGAATTAATTGTTTGATAGATTCAAATTTAGAGAACTTTCGGATTCAGGTTCAAATTTGTCATCAATTTCCGATTCTTACACAGGAAGAAATACACAGAAAAACAAAACAAATTTACTTAATTTTCTAGAGTTGAGGGAATGCAAAAAAGGTTGACTTATTTTTAGGTTCAAAATGAGAAAAATTTTCTTCACGGTTTTTGAAACCAGTATTTATACTTTTAAGAGAAAATATAGGTGTAGAAACTTTAATATGCATTACAGCACACAATATGATAGCTTTAAAAAAAGATCTCATTACAACAACTTAAGGATTTTTTTCCCCTAGGAATCAATCCTCTTTGGCGTCTAAAAAATAAATGATCATTTATCACCACAAGATAAGTGACATTCAGATTTAATTAATATTGCACAAGAAAGGAACAAAAATGAGAATTAGAATCAGAATTCTACTCAGTCTGACAGTGTTCCCTTGTGTCGGAGTACAAAGCCCCTCTTAATATTTCATTCTGTTGCCGGAAAGTGTTGGAATCTTGTGTGGTGAAGGTCATGGCCTGAGTCGGAATAAATGTCGTTTGAAGTGAATCACATATTGTAACAGGAGCATTTTGAGTGTGGTGAATTTCAATTTGTGATTGGGCGGAAGTTGGTATTTGGTACATTTGCGGTGTTATAAGATGTGGTCGAATTTGTTGTGTTACGACTGGAGCCGTTAACACGTGAGTAGGAAGAGGCGAGTGATTTTGATCAGTGCTTGACGATCTAGAAGTGTGAATTATTTGAGCTGGTGAAGGATGTGGAGACTGACTCATCGAGTGTGAACTGGAGGGCTCTGGGGATACGATGGCCGAGTGAACCATTGGTGACGTTTGTGCTTCGTTACTCGAAATGCATAATTTGACCTCACTTTCACTCACTGCCAGAGGGTCATCGTTTTGTTCACTATTACTAACATTATCTGCAGTATTCAATTCTAAAGACATTAAACTTTTGCCTTTGAGGCTCCTTCGACCACGAGGTAGCTTCGGTCCTACTTTGAAGTGAATTAGTTCCATGTGTCTCCTGAGATTTCTGGACTGCCTTAAGATCACTCCACACACTGAGCATTCCACAGGTAAATCAGACACTAACTTTTTAGCACCTAAACAGCCAGGCAAAACAAAAAAATTAAATGAATGATTAGAACAGGTATAACTCTCAAGAATCCTTACAAACTCGATGGAAATACAGAATAAAATAGCATACAATTTATTAAAAGTACTGAAAAAGTACCAGCTATAAACATCTGGGCAATAGATACTATTCAGCATTGCCAAGATATCTTCTTGCTTTAACACCAAGTCATCATTCGGAACGATCGGAAACATTCAAGAAACATTTGGTGGCTCTCAGAGAAACATTTTCATTTTTTCTATGGGTGCAATCAACAAAGTCGACTTTGCGAAGTCTTTGTTCCAGAGGACCCGTGGATTCCTGTCAAGAAATTGATTATTCTTTCAAAGCTGGAGCCAGCATTATGGTCCAGGGCCTAAATTTTGTTGCTCGTTAACTCCTTTCTGTGAAATCTGTAAAAACGTTTAATTTCATTGGGTAATCATTGATCCCTGATAGCTTGCACTGTTTGAATTTTACAAACGGAAGACTAGCCAATGAAAGAAGCTTAACTACTTCAGCTGGTGAATGGATAATTGGAGTTCATAATCGTTTTCTGACTTTCCGAGGAGTTCTACAAAGTAGTATCAAGGACTTTCAAAGACATGTTCAAGTACTTTCACGAAAGTGCAGAAAAATGTTGATGACTTTGAAGAATATCTTAAGAGGAGAACTTCTCTCTTTTGCATTAAGCAGATTGATACTTGGGTAATCTTCGAAGTCGGTAATAGAGAGATAGACCAGTCCTCTGATAAATCAATTGACAAAATAACCCAATGTTATAATATTCAATGACTCTGAAGTACCATTGGGCAATTTGGAATAATGAAGGATATTCAAAAACTTGGAAATTCTGGAAGGGGATTTAAAGACTGTTTAAGCGATCACAAATGACACATATCTTATTGTGATTTTAGCCTACAAACTCTGAACATTATTTGGGAAATCCTCCACCAAGTTTGGAAGTAATATGTGATCAGATCAGTTAAAAGGAACCTCATCTACCAGGAGAAAATTTTCCTTAGTTTTTTGCAAATGCATGGAGGAAGAAAATCTAAAAATTTAGGCGCAAGTTTGACTCCAAAATCTCAAAAGTTGAAGGATATATTAGCCCCACAGTGCCACAAAATTTCTTAGGTTGTCAAAAAATGTGATTTAAGTGTTTGCAAAGAGGTAAGGCAAATTTTCTCCTGGAAGGTAAGGTCCCTTTTCACACATCTTATCGCGTTCGCAGCTAACTAAGTAGGAGAAAGTTCGACTGATGAGACGTTGTGCGCAAAAAAGTATGAGGTATTTATGACAGAGTGCATAAAAAATTCACTTTTAAATTCTCTGGAACTGTAAGTTTACTGATTCCAAAAATGGGGGAAAAAACACAGACACACAGACACACAGACTATGGTAGTTCATCCCTGAGAAGGAAATAACAGATCCAAAAAGAGCAGTACACTCACATACTGAATCCAAAGAGAAATCCATGTAAAAATAAATAAATAATTCAAACTCGGGTGGAAAAAATATTATTTTAATAAATTATATGAAAATTTTTTTACAATATTTGCATTCTTAAAAATCAAAATTTAACTCACACGTGAAAGACTCAAACAAACCCTTTTTTGGCAGGTCATTTTATGGTTAAAATTTATGGCGAAACTTACAAAAAATTCATGTCTCATCTTAGATATTGTTTCCTTTATGACACACAGTACTAGATAAATGAGAACATGCCAATGGGAAGTCCACTGAAAATGTTAGTTCATACTTTTAGATTACAATATTTTTTGACAGGATCAATCTAAAAAAAAAAAAAAAAAAAAAAAAAAAAAAAAAAAGAAAATTGTGTATTCCAAATATATTGATGCCTTCCTACATTTTTGCGAGCAGATATGTAAGAAAAAACTTCAAGAGAGCTGATCTACTTAATTAAAAATACAAAATTCAAACTTTCAATTTTGTTCTATGAGACAATACTTTTGTCCGTCTAATTTTTAAAATAAAAACTTTCTAGTCTTAAAAAATTCTCACTCTCTTTTGCTGTTTTGCCAAGAGGAAAAAACATTGGGGCAAAAAATAAAACATTGCACCATGATTAAGTACAATAAAATTACACAAAAAAAAATTATTCAGCTGAAAAAATAATCTTCAGCTCTAATTTTGATGATCACAAAGACAAATCAACAATGATACCAACATCGTTCAAAAATGCCAACAAACTGGAAATGAGTAAGTAATAATATTACTTATCACTTCATTTTAAGTGAGTAGTCAAAGAATGGAGTTTTTTAATCTTTACTGCAGCGTTATTTGACCGAACTCTATTTCATAGACAATTCGATTTTTCGTTTTACACAATTAAGTTAATTACCATTAGGCAGTCACCCAGTGTCCCTCGTAGATTTTGATCAAGGTAGGCACGAACTTTTCTACGTTCAATGATACTGGAACCATACTTCGCTCTTTTTTGAGCCCTGAATCCTGGCACTCTTGACTCAAACGCAGTGCGTAATTTTGCTACTTTAGCGAGCGGCCCTCTTTGCCAATTTTATGAACAATTTTTTTGGAACTTCCAGGGCTTTATCTCAAAATCTGTGAAAGAGAGGTCCAATATTTTTACATGCAGATACTTTTGGCCACATTCCAATCAGCTTCTAGATGGGACACTGCATGGCCTCTCCTTGCCAGTTATCAATGAATTTGAGATTTAAAATAACGCTTCGACAGTATTTTTTTTTGGTGAGGAAAATATAAGTTCAACTGACCTAATTCGTAGAGAGGAATTATTTTTAATTTTCGTTAGCTGAAGCAACCTTCAATACATACTTACAAAACAAGAGGACTTTCAAAATATTTCATCATTGTTTTTTTTTTTGGAGGCCTACATCTAACTATACTCAAACACACACATTTGTACAAAATTTACAGAAAATTACAAAAAGAAAAAACGTGTTTACAAGCAAAAACTATGCTAAAATTGGAAAATAAAAGAATTCAATCAGGAACAAATTGAGACAAAGCAGAAATTCTGCAGGAGCCATGAACAATGATACAATTTTTTCCTTGTATCATTTGAAAAAGATAAGACTAAGTAATTCAGATTAAAACCAGAAGTGGCAAGCATACAGAACTTTCTGGAGTACAAACGACTTAAGAGGTTGGTGCAGTGCTGAGTAAGAATGAACTAAAATGTTGGGATATAAGTTTATTTGGTTGTACGTAATGATGTCACGCTTTTTGCAGAGTAATGAACAAGCTGCAAGAGTGCGTTTACTTTAGTTTCTTGAGGTAAGAGAAATTTTTCAGGATCATCTAGGATCAGAATATTCTATTGATAATAACATACCCACCAACACTGATTACATCAAAACGAGTAAAAAAAAATTGAGAAGATGAGGAGATACTGCGGATAACTCCTGGTGTACCAGCTTACTTTAAGCATCAAATTCTAAAACTTTACTTCGTTCAATCTAGTTGTGCGGATTTAATGTGTAAATTAGATTTGAGAATTTAACGGCTGTGAGATTACCGTTTTCAGTTGAATGTAACACAGTCATTTTGTGAGGTTTCGGTACAAAGTATGAGATCATTGATATACTTAAAATAGGAAAATTTTGTGAACATTGCTTAAGATTCACAATCTATGGAATAGCAGGAGAGAGAAAAAAGTATGAGAACATTTAAAACCAAGACTTTTAATTTTCCTGAGCATTTATGTTTTTAAGTTTACCAAACAAATGCACTAATAGGTACTTTTCTTCCTGTCCTTCCCCCCCTTCCCGGCAGTTTTACGTTTATAAGTTCACATAATCTGCAATAAGTTCAAGGAAGGAGAGATGAGGAGAACATTCCTATATGGAATCAATGCGACTTGAAAAAGAATTGATACTTTTCAAAGATTGGCTTTCTTAAAAAAGCATGCAAAAGAGAGAAATGAAACATACATATTTTAATTAAAAACCTGGGAAACAAAATAGTGGGAGAAAATTAAAAATGGGTTGCAAAAAAACCTGAAGAAAAATAGGTTGCAAACAGTATTTTCTATCATAAATGCTTTTATCAAAGTTTCATCATATTCCTTCAGGAGAAACACTTATTAACATGGTGAAAGATCAGCTGGAATTCGAAGGAAACTCATCACTGAAAGCACATTTCTTCAAAAGCAAAATAAAAAGCTTTACACGGACTTTGCAAAGTTGTAAAAAGTAAGAAAATTAAACAAGTATACAAAACTCATTATGTTTAATGCATAGGTGCGCTGAGAAAATCAGCAAGAGAGATGCTTAACAATAAAACATTAAATGAAGAAATGTATAATATCAGAGATAATCAGATTGAATGATTTTGTAAACTTCAGATCATAAGGTATCAGAATTGATCCATAATTGATACACATTTTTCATAAATGCCGAGAAATACTGAACTGAAAGAAAATTATATAATTAAAAATGTTGGAAGGATATAAAAATTAATAAAAAAGGAACTTCAGGGAAGCATTAAGCAATCGGTCATTAAAGACAAGACTCAACTGAAGAGATCGAGAATTTGTTGACTAATAGTCAAATGCTTAACTTTCCTCAGTTAGGAACTAAATCCACATATAAACAAAGGAAAAATAATTCTTGTAAATAATAGAAACTCTCCTCAAAACAAATTCTTATGCTGGAATGGTAACAAAAATTTTGAAAAAAAAAATAGACTCGATTTGACTTATAAATATTCTTTTGGTCATAAATGAAGAAAACAGAGTTGACAAGGAAAATATTTGGATGAAACAATTAGTTACACTTACGGAGGGACCTGAGTTAAAGACGTTATTGTTTTCGGAGATGAACAGGAAGAAGATGGAGAGAGTGAAGAAGTCGGCAGGGGCGACAACATACACTCGAGAACTTCCGGTTCTGATCCACTTGTGACTGATTCGAGAGGGTTGTTGAGCCGATATTTACATGCTGTCAGTAGATGTCTTCTCAAATTGCGCGCTTGACGTATGACTGCACCACACAATGGACAACCACAAGGCTGATCCGAAGCACTCCGCAAAACTTTTAGGGGTGGGGGCCCCGCTGCACAGACAGAATACGCATCATGCCAATTGAATCCCCCACCCCTAATAAAGCTACCCACTGAATACACTTAATACACCACTTGATACAGTTTTTGTTTCTTTCATTAGAGAGCAACTTCCACACTGACTGTCCTTTTATACTAAATCAAAAAACTTTTCTTTAAACCACGCAACACAAATTCAGGAGTGACAAACAGGGAAAAAATAAAAAAAGAATCATTAGAGGCAATACATTTTGCCATATATTACTGTAAAGTGCCAAAATTATTTGTGTTTTCAGGGGTTTTACACCTATTTTTCAGGTCACAAGAAACCCTATTGAACTCACTTTCTGGTTTGAACTTTCACTCTTAAGATAAGAAACTGTACAGACAGTATAGAGGGTATATCTTCTCAGGCTGAATGAAGAACCAAGTCATTGAATACATTTATTTAGATTCCAGTTTTTAGAATCTGCTCAACCAATTTACTTTCTGGATTGATTGATCAGTTTTGATCTTATTATTACTCACATTTAAAATATTTTACTTGGTCTTACTGTATCTAACTGTCCATGGAAAAAGGAACCTTAAGTAATCCCTAAAATTTCAAAATTGAGATACATATTGATAGTACAGCTTAGAGCAGTGTTCTATGGACAAAGAAATAAAGAAAGCCGAAACTAAAAAACTCCAACTCACAAAAATAAATTAAAATTGTTGACGCGTTTTGGGGCTCCCCCACCCCTTCTTCAAGGCTAAATTCCGACTCATTTCAGTTTTGGCCTTTCGACCCTTTTTAGTTTTGGCTTTCTTAATTTCATTATTTAGCTCATAGTTTGTTACCTCCATTGCCCGTTTGTTTCGTTTAATTTTGGTTACTTTTGGTTTAATTCTATGGACATTTTGGCTCAAGAACTTAAAAATGTCAAATGACACTGTTGTTATGAAGCTTGTAATGAAGAACCTTCAGTATTGAGATGTACCGACTCGAAGTTTTGATTTACTAAGTTTGGGACTCAATATGGTCAGATTGAATGGTAACTAGGTATACATCTTCTACTTATGCAAAAATTGTTAAACTTGAAACTCATTCGTGGGGATACAAGAGAGCAATACCCTTCCTTCAAATTCTAAGACAAAATTACTGACCTTGAAAAATTTGCCTCCTTACATTCAGCCCAATTCACACTATCAAACTTTTCATCCAACTCTTGGATAAAACTTGTCGGATAAAAATTTGGATAGTGTGATACTGATGAGAGAAAATGGCAATTTGCTGAAAAATTGGACAGAAATATGAATGTGATGTCACATTCAACTTTTCGTCCAACTTTCCATCCAACTGGCAGCACCAATTGAATAGAAACTTGAACAAAAAATTAGAACGAAATCTTCCGACCGACATGAGCCAAAGCTGTATCTTCGCGAACCGTGATGACGATATCACACTGCTACCGTAATTGAATCAAATTTTTTGGCGTCCAACTTTCCATCCAACTTTTCGTTAAATTATGTTGGATGAAAAGTTTTATAGTGTGAATTGGGCTTTAAGGTTCCTTTTCCGCAGAAAATCACACGTGAATAAAAGAAAATTGACTCACCTCCTTCTTCCCCCGATCCTTCATGTTTTACGGAGACCATACTATCCGACATGGAGGCTTGGACAGGATCAGTATTTTCTTCTCCTACTCGGGCCCATTTTTCTCCCATGCTGGTATTTGGTAGCTCAGAGCTTTTCCGTTTTACTTGTTTACGCTTACGGACAGGTAAAGCAGAACTACTCTCATCACTGTGCATCATACTAGTATTTGAGACAGATGACATGTCTACCGTGCTGGGTGTGACAACAACTTCTGGTGGATGATTCACAAAAACTGGCTTCTACGAAACACAAAAAAAATTAAGATCATCTACTGAATGAGAAAATAACTTATTGATTATTGATGTACAGATACAATAGAGTGAAAAAATTTGTGAGAGGTTGCATGATAATGACTGGGATCAAGTCGTAACTTAATTTTTTAATGATTTCTATTGTATTTTGCAGCTAAAAATGAGCCTGTAAAGATTTGAAACGTCCAGCCTTCTAAAGATATTAGTATTATTAGCCTTGTTTTACCCATTTTTTAACTTTTCTCTTCTATCAAATTCATATTCTTGTTAATGTTCTTGTACTGTCTTGATATCACTTTACTCAGCTAATTAGTTTACAAAATGCAAGAAAACAGACAAATATTTTATAGAATACTGACAGATTTAGAGGTATGAACAGGAGTTGAAAATATTGACTTACATCTGTTGACAAAATGGTGGGGGATAGAGCTGTAATGTCTAAACAGTGCGCAGCCTGAAGCAGAGATGGCAACTGAGATGGATCCACACTTACTTCTCCTTGGTAAATAAACGCCAGTAAAGCTTCTAAATCAGAAGCAGTGATTCCAGCTAACATTACGACAGGATGTTGACACTGAGTGCTCTGAAATCAAGATATTGTTCATTTAAGTATACGCAAAATAACGCTTATTTTAAAATATTCTACTGTTTTGTTGACTGGTGTATTCATTCAACTGAAAACCAGCTAATCTGAACAAAAATTGATGAAGATATAGCAGTCTGAAAGTAAAGTGTGTGAAGATTGCCCGAGACCAAATTGCTTTTCTTTCGATTCGACGATGCAAAAGGTGCTTCGAATAGTTGACTGGTTGATGAACAGAATATCTGACTAGTTGATCAGATCGACAAAATAAATCTGAAACCCTTTTTCCCATTCCATATAGAATAAAGTAGTAGAATCTATGCATTATTGATGTTCCATTCATTAATCCTTGCATCAATGGGCCTGTTGGAAACTTTTGCAAGAGCAAAAATAAGAGTTGTTTCCGAGAGAAAATGCCTAAAAATTCACGATGAGCGCATCGGCAAAGTCTGAAATGCACTCATAACTTCACAATCTGTGTGAGAAATTTGCCATTTTTTGAGCTTCCCGCTTCAATAACATACTATGGCATAGGTGAATATTTTGTTAGAGGAGTCGCTCCATCGTCGGCAATATTCATCATGGCCGACGCTTCCGCAGCTCCGTGTGTAATTCGAGGAGAGTTTAAGGTCATTCAAGGCGGACGAGGAAAATTTGAACGTAAACACGCCGATTGTTATCTGGTCTTATCCTAGTCAGGTGTTATCTCGTCCCATCACACGTGTTTTGGCGGAGTGGCGTCGTCATGATGAATATTGCCGACAATGGAATGACTCCTCTTTGCATTACTTATGCAGATTGTGAAGTTATGAGTGCATTTCAGACTTTGCCAATGCGCTCATCGTTATTTTTGAGGCATTATCTTTAAGAAACAACTCTTAGGTTTGTTCTAGCAAAAGTTTGCAACAGGCTCATTGAGTTCTTTTGAACACCTAATCTTGAGGATACTATTATACAGGATGTTAGAGTGGTTCTAGGTTCACATTGTTCTGTGGAGAAAGAAGAAAAAGAAGTAAAAAATGAATGAAAGAGTAAAACAATTAATTAGAAGTTTTAAAATAATGAGACTTAAATACATTTTTCCTCTAAACAATTCATAGTCATATACCTTCAACAATTCCATTAACAAAGGACTGGCTGCACTCAGTACCAACTTGTGGGCAGGGAAGATTCGACCACCCGCTGATAAGGTAACGTCGACCAGTTCTCCCTGCCCTCGAAGGATTTGAAAAGTGGATGCTAGAGATGACCCAAAATCACCCCAGGAGAGGCTGTACATCTGGTTGCTGCCCATTTCTTCTAGAGAAAACAAAACAAAAATGTATCAGAATAGTACCTGATGGTGTGTATCTACACATTGTTTATTCTTCTAATGTGTGAAAATATAGCACCAACCAAGTTGAGTGCAATGAGGAAATTTCTATAGGAGTGTTTTAGAAGTAAAGTTTGATAGACGGCACTGCGCTATTCCATACCTGGTCTGGATTTCGACATTGTGTTTGACGTAGGATTAGGGAACAGGAAGTAATTTTTTATGCTGTCTCACTATGCAACTCTCAGTTTCGATACAGAAACTGTCAGCCAAATTGCAAAGATAAGCATGAAAAAGAAACACAAAGGTCAGACTCAACATTTTTCATTCGAGAAAATAATTCTGAAAATGTCTACCTTCTGCAGAGATTTGTCAATAATTTCCTTTATCCTGCGATACAGGATCGGATGACATTAAAGTGAATAAATATACAGGGCCGCATTTGAAGTTGAGCCGTCATGATAAAACCTGGTTGTGCGTAGAGTGCACCTGCTTAGCCCAATGATTAGAACGTGCTAGATTTCATGTGACAAGAGGGTGCGAGTTGTGACTATCTGTGAGAATCCACCTTGAGGTAGCATGCCAGTTCGAGACACATGAAAAGCATTCTTACATCAGACAGCAAAACTCAATCAGTTGCTTCAAGAGATTGGCACACTTCTTCATAAGTCTGATTTAAAGTTTAACAAAAGCCTCTCTTCAATTAGATTCAACCTTATTAGCATGGAATTTTTTCATGAGTACGGTTGGCATTGCGGCAGCCTGGATGCAATCTTAGACCTTCCCAGCTTGGGCATAGTTCTCAGTTGGTTCAAACTGCTATGAACATGGTGAATTCAAACAGATTTCCTTTCCTCCAAGAATGTCTAACTTTTAAAAATGAGCCACTCTTGCCTAACTCAACGGCGCTGGAATACCTGCTTTCACAGACTCATCAGTTAACAGTAAGCAGTTGTCTGTGCTGAGACTTTAGTGTCTACTAACAGATCGTGGATCTTACATCCTATGACGAACTAAGATGGATTGAAGGTACGTATAAATAAAAATATCACTACCTGAATGAAAGGAAACTTATTGAAGCATCAAAATTGACACAGGGGAAAGTTTCAGAGAAAGAGGTTAGGTGAACGCGCCGACATTCTAGACACGAAAAAATTCACTAGCAAGAATTACTTCCAAGGAAAATTATACTTGGGACATTAGTCACTTGGGATAACTGATGGGGAATGCACGGAGATTTCCAAACAGACGCAATATCAATGAAAACTATTCTAAAATAGTCAAGGAGAGAGAACAAAGCCAGCCGAGGCAAACGATTCTGTCTGACAACAACAATGTTACAGATGAAGAATTCAAACAGAGTGAACAAACGAGAGTCTGAGGGCGTGTCACTCCCTGAGTATGTATACTACACGGTATTCATATAAGTACACTTTAATAAGTACTAAAAATTGTAGCGACGTGACCTAAGTTCCCTCAGTTTTGCCTCTTCAGAAAATCATGAATTTTCCTAGTATTTAAATTTCACGGAACTGCAATGAATTTTGTCTCTCATTTTTCAAAGATGAGCTCAAAATTTGTAAAAAACCTGGACCCTATAGACGCTATTAGTGCCACGTCACAGTCGGTATCGATTGTATCGAACTGGATCCAAACAATCAAACATAACCTCATCTTGACACCTCCCTCCCAGAATTTCACTGTCAAAAGCCAAGAAACTGGAGTGGCATAGGAGTGGCCTAAATCATGGTGGCCCTCGTGGGTATTTTCACCTTTCTGAAACTGCTTTATCCCGTCAACTTAACAATGCGGGAACGTTCCGCGATTAAAAGAGCTGTCTCTAACACAACTTTTTTCTCAAACTGGGCGAATTATCTCTGAAATTCTTTAGTTTCATATTGAATAGTAAGGTTATGTTTGATTGTTTGGATCCAGTTCGATACAATCGATACCGACTGTGACGTGGCACTAATAGAGTCTATAGACGCTATTAGTGGCGACGTCATCATAGGGATTCTCCATTATATCGAATTGGATCCAAACAATAACATTGGCATAACCTCTTTCAATGCTACCAATGTGAAAAAATCGATAGATATCGCTTTCCTGTGACGTTGCACTAATAGCGTCTATGAGGGAACGTGTTATGAGATTGCATACCTTCTATGTATAAACTGCAACACTATGAGATTCGGGAGAGGCCTCCATATTAAAAACAACACAGAATATTTCCATCACCTATCTTTTATCACATTTTCAGAGAGTATGGAATATCATTTTTGTTATCCTTTTTTTTTCACGATCAAAAAACCACATTGACATTCTTGCAAATCTTCTCACTATGATTTAATAATCTTAGAATCATTAATGCATCCTTTTCAATTTTATTAATGCTCTTCTTATTTGTGGAAAATTAGAAGTGATTTTTCTGAATGGCTTACTTCACAGTGAAGGAGTTATCTTTGCGGTAAGTTCCTTTACCAATTAGAAAATCTATTACATAGCAGCAACTTATGCTCCTTTTTGAAGTTAGAAGCTTGTCCAGTGGTTATCCTGAAGGTATTTTCTTCATGGGGTATTTTGTGCGTTTGCTGCAGTCATTGTTTATTGTACTTATCAGTTTCAGACTGAATATCGATGGCGAAACTGCAAAAATGTGTATCCCTTCTGCGGTGTTTGGTAATCTCCATTCCTCCATCATTTTTGAAGGAAACCGAAACAACATCGTGACTTGAAATTTTCATGGAATATTCTTGAAGAAGAGAAGAAAAATCACTGAAATTTCCAAGAAATGACATGCAGTAGTTTTCATCGTGGCATTTTAAGTACTTATGACAGGAAGTCTGCAATGCTGCAAATGGAGATTCGTATTTCTGCGATCCATGGAAAATTATGAATCTTATCTTGCCTTAATCAAACTATTCCCTCTATAACTCCAGACACATTAAAAGAATTCAGAAGAATGATGAAGGAATACAGGAACTTGGTGTTGTGATGCAAATTGCTGTCAAAAGTTCATGATTTTCACATCTAAATTTTGGTGTCTCAAACTTCTAAAATATCCTTTGTGTTGTGGAAAAAAAAAAAAAACAGAGGAAATTCTAGAACATTAATGTTACTCAGCTTTCTTCCATACGAAAATATATGAAATTGGAAACTCGTAACATATCTATGTTCCACTACATCTACCTGCTAAAGTACATATTTTGTTTCTTTCAGATTGCAGAGAGAACTCCTAAGCTCTTGTGTTGGATCTCTTAGGAATGGAGAAGTACGTGTCGACTATAGAAATGTACAAAAATCTGTTTATCGCCCTTTTCGAGCTCGCAGAGATGTAACACCAAAGTATGCTGGTGTGGAACAGGTTGCAATCGACCCTGGCTCAGAACCAATGATATTCTCACGCCTGTTCAAGCCTTTTATTTACACAATTGGTGTAAGTTGATGACAGATTTATTTATTTTTTTATTTTTATTTTTTTTTATTATTAATCTAAACATGCTCTGAATTTGCTGACCCTTACTTACTTTTAATGATTATGCACAGTAGATAGTTTAAAATATCTATACTTTCACTTTTGGTCAATCTTTTATTATTAAAACATGTCGATAAAAAATTGCGTGTGAATAAAAAGTGAACAGATGACTATTTTAGAGCCTGATTTTATCAGTGATCTTTGTTGTGTTTTAACCATCACAATTGATACAAGCAGAGTGTGAATCTGAGTTCACTCCAAAGTTGTCAACAGAGGTCTACAACTCTACGGAAAATCTGCCGCTTTCGAGTTCCCATTGCAAATGAATGCAAGAAAGTACATGGCCAATCTTACGTCCCTCTTTAAAAGTCGGCTAATCATTTGGCATGATCTTTGTAAGGTGAGAATGCAAATGTTCTATGATTACCAGAGCAATCAGTCATATATTCAATGCAGTATAATATCTGTGCGATCAGTTTTATGTTTTTTTTTTTTAAATTTTAATGAAAAATGGAAAAAAGTGGAATTGAATAATGAGTAAAAAAAATGTTAATACGTAATGGCAATATGCTTTGAACTCGATTTTTAATTTGTTTCAGTTTAGCGCAACATGTTTGGTTGGTGCCACAATATGGCAGTATGAAAATATGCGAACTAAGTATATTGATTCGAAAACTTGGACCTGGGGATTTACCAGACACGTTGAAAAAAAGGTGAGTAATCATGAAGGAGAGGAAATAAGGTAAAATGATAAATGTTAAAGTTGTAATCGAAGAGAAGAGTTGGCTCTTTCTCAGCAGCGTAAGTAATTTGCTCATTTGTAGGAAAGCATTGCTCACAGTTTTGCAGGTTCTCATTTTAATCCCTGATCGCAGAGGAGTAGACAAAATACACTCTACAAACGAAGGTCCTGCGGAGGAGAATCTGCCAAGAAAGTTTGAACAAAGGACGACGGACCGGTCTTATGGGAAAAGTGGGCCCGGTTAAATCGGCTGGCGTTTTGATATGTTGTAGGTCTTAACCTACTGATCAAAAGTGTCAATGGGCATTTCTCCCTATCTCGAAGTTTTACCCCCCATTTTGGGGGTCAAAGTTGCCGATTCGGCGTATTATTGGCAGTTTTGACACCCGGGTTTATTGGTCGCCTANCCGGTCCGTCGTCCTTTGAATATTTGCAATTGAGTTTATGCAGCTTTCTGTAGGTTAATTGGATACTATGGATATCGGAATCTGCCGATTTATACTGAAAAATGCTTCTGGCTTCTTGCCATATTGATGGCGAACAGTTATATTAAAATTCAAAGTTGTCCAAACAAACTGGTGAAATACTTAATTTTTTTAACAAAGTACACTATGTAGTGGTTACTTGATTCCTATTGAAAGTGAAGTCCAACCACGTGTATGATATCCTCCAAAATGTGTTGAAGTAACACCCAGAATTACTTGAATATACTTCACCCTTTCTTCTTCTAGCCTTAGCAAACAACAGATTTATTTATGAATCGATGATTAGACAGAGTAAAATTTCAGACAGTTTTGGTTTTCTAACAATTGAAATGTATGCCTATACATTATAGGCAATTGATTTTCAAGCCTAACATCTGAACCATTCACTTCACACTTATCTGTTTTTCGTAGGGAACAATTCGACAAGAATTGAACCATTGGTGGAGGAACAGGACTGAGGGAGAAAAAGTCTTCATTCCAATCTGCGCCCTTAACTGTATTGTTTTTGCTGCTTGGAGGTTTCGCAGATTCCAACCAACCATGGCGAAATATTTCCTTTCAACGCCATCTCGAAGTAATAAATTGTTTCTTTCACCTCATTTCTGCAAAATTTTCAAGGCTACTCTTTCAAATGATTCACGTCTTGTGGTGATTTCTTTTTCAAACTTTTTATTACCAGAAAAATTATGCAGCTCTCTGAAGTTATCTACAACCTTGGAAGTATATGTTGTAGGCAAAAAGTCAAATCAGGCATTTTATCAAATGCCTAGGCAGATAGTCAAACTTAACGAGGTTTTGTGTGTTCGTACAAAGATCTCTCGAATTTTCAATATTTTTAAAGTAAAAAGTCATCAAATTACGAATTATCATTGTATTTTCCTTTTCAAAATGCCCATTGTATACTTTTAACTGTCAAAATTAAAAAACTGTGTATTTTATAAAATGATTTATGAACCTTTTGAAATGAGTGTTCATCTCTGGGCCAGAAATCATTATAGCAACCATAGAATGATGCAAATTTTTAAAAATTAATTCCCATTAATGAAGATAAATATGTGATCGTTATGTCCAAAATTAGCAGAAGAGTCAGAATTTCATTCCGAGTGAGAAGTTTTAACACTTTGCCCAGACATTTAACAAAATGTCTGATTTGATTTTTTGCCTTTGACAAATATATTTTAAAAAATATGCTTAGAATTTATCTAAAGTATTTCACAGCTGTCAATGTAATAACTTCAGCTTACTCTACACTTTGCTTTTTGCATTTGTTTTTCTTTTCTCTCACTTTACAAATACAAAATTGTATGGCCTCTTCCAGGATCATTCTCTACCATTAATTGAAGTCAGATTGGAGGTAGAATAAAAGTGCGAATCATTGCTTCAACTTTTTTGTCAAGTCCGGCCTAACTTTTTATCATGAATATATTTACTTATTTACGAGCAGCTCAAATTTCATTCTATAAGTGGATCCTCTATACATATTCCTTTCAGAAAATTTGTGCTGGCCCATGTTCCTCTCATCGTTCAGTCATGTTTCGATCATTCACCTAGCTGCAAATATGTTCGTCCTTCATAGTTTTTCTAATAGTAAGTAATTGTTCCTTTAAACATTTTATTTCTGTTGATTGCTGCTGAATTTCTCTGCTTCAGTCAGCGTAGCTTACTGTCGCTTAATGCCATTTTATCAAAATGGATTATTAAATGCATGTATTGTAAATCAAAGGCCTTGTCCATACGAGGGCAGTTTGGACTAATTAGTTCCACAATCTGGAGGTTCCAGGAACAAGTTATTGCTGAATTGTATCAAGTTTCTGGCAAAAGTTTGCCCGACATTTCTTGAAGTGAGCTCATGTGGACAAGGTTCAATGAAAGCAATAAAACAATTCAGTCTATTCTGTGGTATTACCGAAAAGAGCAGTAATGCTAAAATTTTGTAAATTGAGTTTTCTTCTAAATTAGTTCAATATAGTTTTATGAACGGACTCATTAAGCAACATAGTCAAATTTGTCTCATTTATTCAAAATAGCAACAATAAAAGAGCAGTAAGTCAATGGCTAAGATGCAAGACCATGTATCTCTGTTTGCGATGTTGAAGATTTCCAGGCAAACTTTATTTTTCCCCTGGAGATCTAGTCAACGTAATTTCTTGAAAACTTCCCTTATTTTTCTTCTCTGTTAGTAGAATATTCTGTATAATTTTCAAGCTACAAGGCTGACTTGTTCCTTTTCGAAAAAATAAACTAGGAGCATAGATTTTGAAACACCAAAATGAAGACATATGTGGTGTCGTTTTATCTAGTCTCAAATGATTCAATTGATCCTTAATTGGTTTTCCTTGTGTTTTTCATTTGAACTGTGTCTTTCTCTCTCCTTGTTGCAGTTTTATGTCATACATTAGGCAAAGAGCAATTTGTTGGTTTGTACTTGAGTTCTGGAGTGGTGTCATCATTTGCTAGTTACTTTTACAAAATTGTCTCTAAGAACTCTGGATTCACCCTGGGTGCTGTAAGTCTAAAATTTTTACAATTGTTTCTCATTTTTTCTCTTTCTATTTGTACATAGATGGACGATTTGTTCGTTCTTTGCTGCCTAAATCCTAGAACCTTATGTATCTCGTTTCTTTGACCTCGCTCTTATGGGGCCGTTCATGTATTACATACTGCACTTAGGAGGGAGGGGGGGTTTGAGCCAGCATTACAGTGCGTTACAAGGGGGAGGGGGGTAAAAAAACGGAAAAAGTGCTTCATGTAACACTTGAACGGCCCCCATGCGTCGATAAGCACTCACCTCAAAAAATTTCCTTCACACAATACTGAGGTTCTTTCTCCTGCAAATAGTCTTAAATGCCCTGTTGGAATGTATAATATTTTTGCAATTGTCATTGAGGCTTACCTCCCTTAGAATTCAATGGACTCCGACTGTACCTTACAGTGTTTAGATGCTTTCAAAGCAATGAATTTTTTGTAATTTAACTATTTCTTATTAATTTATTCATTTATATATTTGTTAATCTAATTAAACCCTTCTTGTTTTCTAGTCTGGAGCAATCATGGCAATGGTTAGCTATATCTGTTTCCATAATCCTGAAGAGAAACTCTATATTTTGTTCCTGCCCTTTTTTACGTTCCAAGCTGGCGCAGTAAGTAAAGTTTTTTTTTCTAGACATAGAAATACAGCAAAGCTAGGAAGGAGTTAAGAAACAAGAATTTTTAAAATAGTCAATGGTAATGGTTAAAATGGCTATAAATGGTTAAAATGTACCTGTTAAATATTTGAAAAAAATACTTTACTCTATGTGATCAGAGGTCTTGGTCACTACAAAAAGTAGTTTGTGAGTAAAAAAAAGAAAAAGAAAGGAACAAGCAAAGAAACTAACTCTGGGACCATTAATTAAAAATAAAATGATTTTGTACCCATGAACCCTATCAACCCTATTTTAGAATGAAGTTATTTGAGATAAATAGTAAAGCTTTCTTAGTAACCATCACATTTATAATCGGTGCCAGTATCGTAACATTTGCAGAATGTCTACAAATAAACTAACAATTCTTCTCATTTTGGTGTTTACCTGTCCAATATCTTCTTTGTATGATTTTTTTTCTGAAATAAATTATTGATGACTAGAACCAGTGTTGTGATCAAAGTGTTCGGAAAACAAAAAGTTTAGGTAAGTTGTGATGAAACCCCAACCACGGTAACAACTAAATTGTCGGATCTCAGTACACCTTTATGTGATTCTCATTCATCATCCAAAAAAGTGAGATAAACCGATTAAATTTTGTCATGGGAACGGAGTTCCCCGTGATATTACAATCGTTCCGTTGCTTTCGCTATGGGATTCCCTATACCTCTGCGACCTTGAGCGTTTCGCCCAGTCTCCGATTTTTGGTTGATTTTCCGATGTATCAAAAACCGTTGTATTTTTTAGCCAATCATGTCTCTACGTCAAGTTGTGTTGATTGCTAAAATTCGCTTTCAGCGAGTTTTTTTCCACCTTGAGATGTCGTGTCTGACTGGTAAATCTGCGCAGATCCACGAAGTTCCGTTTTTAGGCAAATTCTTTTTTTTGGGAGGTTCTGATTGGTTATTTTTCGCCATCAGTTTTCTGTTCGTTGGTGCAAAAGATCGCCTACCTCGTTTCTCTTGAGAAGCCGCCATTATCCCACCTCAAATTTTACAAATAGAAATAAAGAAATTATAACTATTGTGCAAGGTGGAAAACTGCTCTGGAGGACCCGTTACGGATATATGAGCCAAAATCGGAACTCGATTGATTGATTTATTCCATGAATACAGAAATATTGCCTCAGCTTACTGCCGCGATGGCAAATGCCTACTGATATGAACCTTGAGACACATGATAGCATAGGCAAACAATGTCTCACAGAGAAAGGCGCTTAGCTCATTTCTCCAGAAGCTACGAAGACGCGAATCGCCGAATCGCTCAAGGACAACTCTTGTGATAAGTCCCGCCCATCGTCCGAGTCTTTTAAATGCTATTTTTTCCCATCCTTTCGCGGATCTGTGATAGCCTAGTCGACTGAGGCGCCCCATTTTTTTGATAAGGTGCGGGCAATAGGTGATCGGGAGTTCGATACCCGGCGATGGGAGATAATTTTTAATGGTTGTATTGAATGTTTTAGACCAATCATCAAAAAATAATTAATACTAGATGATAAATGTACGAACATTTTCTCGTGAGTTAATATGTTAAACAAAAATACTGGAATATACCTCCTTCATATAATCAGCCACATGTTCCCCCAAATTAATGACGTTATTTTCTTTTTTCAATAAAGTTAATTTGCATTCAACGTTCGTAAGTTAAGCAAAAAGTACCTATTGATACAAATAGAAAGACATGAAAATAGTATGCTAACATTTCAGTTTTTTTTTTTTTTTTTATTTATTTTTTGTTTTTTTGTTTTTTCAATAAAACAAATTGACTGGGACTAGAATCATCGTATCTCTGAAGACAAAAGCTAAGTTTTTTGATACAGAAATACTAATATATTCATCCTTTATATAATCAGGGAGATGTTGACCCAAATATTGATGTATATTTTCTCTGTTCGCCCAAATTAATGATGGTATTTTCTTTTTTCAATAAAATTAATTTACATTCCACGTTCTTAAAGCAATATTTTCTCCAAAATTCAGCAAAAAATAACAATATATACCTACGCAAAAAGTAAATAAATAAATAAAGCAATGACATGAAAGTAGTATAGGTAGTACACATCTAACATTTCGGTTACATCTATTTGAATGAAAAAAATGGCAACTTAGGAAGCACATAGGTCACTTATCGACGGTGAAACTACCAAACCACGTATCTCGGTTTGCGACGTCGCAGACTTCCTGTCATACTTTATTTTTTAAATGAAAAGCTACTTAACGTCCAGTCTTGAAAATTTCCGTGATTTTTCCTCTTCGTGCGGAGAAAATTCTGTGAAAATTTCAAGGAATGATATGGATTTGGTCTACTTCAAAAAAATAAAATGTGAGCGGAGATTTTTAAACACCGCAAACGAGATACGTGATTTGGTAGTTTCACCGTCGTTATGATGCGTATTCGGGCATATGCGTAGAGTAAAAATATCATACTTTATGCCGAAAAAACGAAACTGAAAGTTAAATGCGTTAACTTCCAAAAACCATACATAATCCAACGAAAATAAATAATTGGTAAATAACAGCTTTCTTGTACGCAAAGAAAAAAAAATTAAAAATGTTAAAAAAGAGGTGTCGACACAAAATTACACAGCCCCTTCAATTCTGAAGATACTACAAACGAACTGTACCTACCTTAAAATTTTCGTATGCCAGAAGCAAAAGTTCCCATGACGAATATTGCTATCGCTAGCGATTGCAAAAACCAACTTGTTTTATTTTATTTTATTTTATTTTTTTTTTTAAATTTGTGACCTCAAAGAAAGAAAAAGACATAGTAAGATTAAATGATTATATACCAAGGTAAGCAATCAAAGACAAGTAAGAATTTGATAAAGACAATTAAACATAGTGGCTGGTTACAAAAACCTCAGATGGATGAAAGGCCGAAGGGGGAGGTCACACTGGAATTACTTAGTGGTATACCATTTTATTGTTTAGGACACTATAGAAAGTTCTCTGAGGAAATCTCAAGATCTGATTTTTCGATCTAACTACTAGAATCATTCTACAAAATATTTTGCCTCCGTGGGCTATGGTCCTTTTTCTTATAGACCATCACAAGTAAACCTCTAAAGCAAAAAATAGACTCCTTTATAATAGTCTAATTTCATTTCGTATTTTTTAGGCAATCAAGGCGATAATGGCTTTTGATGCTGCGGGTCTCATTTTCAGCTGGAAATTCCTTGATCATGCAGCTCATCTCGGAGGTGCACTTCTTGGAATGTAAGTCATCATCAATCATTATCACTGAGGAAATAATGATAAGTTCTTAATTGCTGTCAAATTCCCTTGTATNGGGGGGGGGGGGGGGCAGATATTCTGACTCTAAGTCATAGGCTAGTAGAAGAAATAGCAGGTCTAGATAATTTCAATTTTTCCCCCTTTTTATTAAATAGCATCCAGTGAACAAATAAAAATTTAGTTAGTAAGAACTCATCTTTATAATGAAAAACAAGCTGGAACAGGAATATTACTAACTCCAAGGAAATAAGTTCAACTAAGAAGAAACGCCTGACCTCCTTTAATCGAATGAATTTTCAGAAAATTTTCAAGGGAGATCGGAAGATAAGTTCAACATTTTGACTCAGGAAAATTTGACTTATTTTTTTCAGTGTTAAGTCAAGAATCTCAGGAAATTTGGACACCCATCAAGAAGTAAAATACAGTCTTTGATTATTGAAGGGTTACGAAAATCTCAAAGCTTATGAATTAGAGGAAATAGATTTGTAAGGCATCTTTTAAATTTGAAGTAACATGAAATTCTGTATGGTTTGTTGCAGAGCTTGGTATCAGTGGGGAAATCGATACATATGGCAAAAAAGAGAGCCCATTCTTGAAAAATGGCATGAATTCAGGGGCACAGGCCGAAAACGATGAAATCTGTTTTTTCTCTCCATTGTGTTAGCATTCATTGGTGCGACATTCAAATGCCTGCAGCAAAATCACGAACTTCTCACTGCCACCCTTCCTTTAACTTAATGCCATAATTCTTTTAATTAACATCAAATTTAATGTTTTAATGTTTTCTGTGATCACAAACTACAAAGATCAGAAAGTTCTATCTAGTCCTTAAAGGCACATCCTTTAAGATGGTTGGACTGCCATTCATAGCAAGAATTAAAACATCTCAAGACTTGTTTTGAGTTTTATTTAGAAAGAGTTCTTGAACATTTTCGACTTCAACTTTTAGATCAGATACTAGTTTTTATTGGTAACATTAAAATCAATGAAATTAAACATCCTATTTAAAAACAAACCAACACAAACATACATATGTAGATCAAATTAGCTCAGTTCTTCTTCAATGAGTTGAAGTTGGAAATTTTCAATGTGTCGTGTTCTGCTGTATGTGTTATGTTTGAAATTGAACTAATCATGTTAAAAAGATCCATATGTAAAGAAATGAAATCAAAAGGATCTATGTTCCGTAGAAATCTTATGCACACAGTTACTTTTCATTTAATTAATTTTCTTATGGTTCCTTTTAGCATGAATAATACATAGCTTTCAATTTTTTATATTTTTGATATCATTAAAAGTCAACCTTTTCTGTTAATTAATGAGCAAAATTAAAATTTTAGTTTTAATCCCAAAAGTATCATAAAGCATACATTTAAACAATTTGCTCCATGCGATCACATTTTATTGTAATGACTGACGCCGAGTGAGCTGCAAATGTGGTATTCTTGAAATATGCAGTTAAAAGCCACCCCTATTTTAGTATACTGTCGATTATACATCATATTTTATTAATTCAGATTTTGCAGGCAGAAAAAAAAGAAAATTTAAGAGGAAAAAGTACAAATAGCCCTAACTTAATTTTGAGTTCTGGGACGGTTTATTTATTCAACACTAAAAGTATGAAAGTTTTTAGAACCATCAATCCCATTATCAAAGGCTAGTGATTAATATTACCTTCTTTTTACTCTAAATTCAATATTGTGAGTACTTTGCACTTTGAACTCACATTAATAATGAAGGACTTAAAAGTTCGGAAATCTAATTTTTCAAAATTTTACCAAGCATCTTTGTAACCACAAACTTTTGTTGCATAATGTGTGCAAGAAATAATTCTGTATTTTCTCTCTTTAGTCTCTCAAGTCTCTTAAGTCTTTTTCTAACAAGTTCTATTTATTTGCCATTAAATTCAATTTTATATTGCCACGACTCCATTTCTGTTTTTAAGTTTTGGTTGTGTTGAACCATAATTGATTTTTTTGGAATATATATTTTCTGAGAATCTGTTGAATCATTGCCTCCGCCTCATTTAACTTATCTCAAATTCATTTTATTAATTTTATGAAAAAGTGTTTGAAATGTTCGAGCTTAAAATTGAAATTGTTTGGCTGTACATTCTCTGATGAAAGCAAAATACTTAGATAATACTACTTTCAACCGGTCCAATTTCTCTAATCTTTGTTACTCCTGTACATCAACGTCTCCTCCAACCAAAGCTTCAAAGATTGGTATAAAATCTGATGGCTAACACCTCCGAAAACTTTTAAAATTTTTACTTTCAAAGGATGTCCAAACCAATTTAAAGCTAATCTTCAGAATTTTGAGCCTGTGGATTGGAATCAATTTCATGAGGCTTGTTTTCCAGGGTTGATGGCAGTCTGGAAAACCAGGAAAATCAGGGAATCCACTGTGATCGGGAAAATTCAGGGAATTTATCAGAGCCTTTTATCTTCTGAACTGTTACTGATTGCTTTTATCTATAAGTTGATGTCCTAACAAAGAAATTTTATCTGTTAAACTATCCATCAGTTTAAAGAATTAAATGAAATTGATAATTGCATTTAGCCGCTCCAAAATAGGGCCCTTTGCGTTAAGATATTTTGGCATAGCGATCTTTTGATTTACCAAGAATATTAGCAGAGAACATGAAGATTAAAAATTAGCTGGACATTTTAAATAGAGCCTAACCTTTGTCTTCTCTGCAATCTCCTCTTATCTTTGATAGGAAATCAGTAATTGTTCAGTTTAAATAGAAAGAAAGAATTACAGAAAAAAAACCATCTTAATTGAAGCCGTATCCAAATCGAGAAATTTGAAAATAAATTATCCCTTTGTCTGATCGTTCAATTGGCACAGATTGAATCAGATTGTAGTATCAGAAGCAATTTCCTCCCAGCTCATGGATTTCTGATTCTGTGTTTTTTGCATCGTTGCCATGGCAACCAATGAACAACATTCAATTAACGTATGCAGTTGTGAAGTGACTTTATTTGGAATGAATTTATACTTCATTTGCTGGTCACACAAAAACAAACAATTACCATGGTAGGTTTTAGAAATCAATTTCATTAAGTTTCTAGAATTAAGGCACCTTCATTACTAGAGAAGTTCTGTGTTAGAGTTTTCCGGTTTTTACTTTTTCGCCAATTCTGTAATTAATAGACTTTTTTATTCTTGTTTTTGAGATATTTCATTCAAATAATTTGTGTCACTCTTTTTTAAATAGCATTTAAATGCCTTTATCACTGCACGTGTTGAAAGTGTCATAAAATAAATCATCAAATTTGTATCCACCCTAATTATCTTCCTGCACATTGCCGATTTTCTGTAGTTCACAGTAAGATTGTCTGGGAGGTTTATGGTAGATACAGGAGCACCCACTGTATTGGCCACATTTTAAACTAACAATAGTACACCACATATTAATTTATAATTATTTTGTCATCATGTATTTATACCATTACTTTCACATCTGCTGATTCTTTTTTTCAGAGTGAATTAGGACTGAATGAACATCATCAGAGTACGTTGAACAGCTATCTCAAGTTTAGTCGATACTACCGTCAGCAAAATTTAAAAAGTGTACAGCTCTCATTTCAAGATGTCTTGGATGCGAGGTAAAATCTAACAGCATTTTTTAAAAATGTTTACTTTTCAAATTACAACAATTGTACCCAACCACTAATATGTACCTTCAGTAACGTCAACTAAAATCTTCCCTCTCACTTACTCATTATGTGATTGACTCTTGAATCTATGCTTACAAGACAAATATTCAAGGCGAGCTGCTTCTTGTTTTGTCTCTCTTGGTTTTATTCATGGATTCAATGTTGAGTCAGGCAATGTGTGAGTGAGGAAGGAGATCGATGCACACCATCAGCATCCAATTTGATAGGTACCTAACTTACACAAAGGTTTCATTTTCCAAGCAAAGTTAGACTTTTTACTCAAACACTATAAATCTCATACCATAAAGTTAGCAAGAATTTCTTCGAGAATGGCAGAATGAAACATGCCAAAATTTGAATGATGGGAGTTTCTAGAGCCTCACTTATTTGAATTCAAAGACCCATAAGTCCCCAGCCTGTACTGAAGATCTGACTATCAGCCAGACCACGATTGGTATCTAGATCAAGAGTAGGATTGGAACCTCTCCCTGGGGCGTGCCAGATTTGGGGAGGACCAAGTGCCCCCCTCCTAATCTGGGCGTGTGTAAGCAGATTCCACTTTTGTTGAAACCAAAAAAAAGATCTAAAACTGTAATACTTCATTTTGAGCGTAATCCTCCTGAAGTTCAGTAGAAAGAATAAACTCCCGAGACACCTAAAATTTGAATTTTCCGTGTAAAATGATAGATCGAATGTCTCTTTTTATTGCCATGCTTGCATGATTTTCCATTGTTGAATTTGTATTTTCTCTTTTATTGCAAGGAATAATCTCTCTACTCTCATAATAGAATGCTGCGTTTCTTAAAATTTTTTTGGTACGATTTCAGGTTGCTGGACTCAACGTACACAAAGCAAGAGGTAGAAGACTTAATCACAAGCCTCCAAAATTTGATAGTTACAGAGATGGAAGCAGAGTTGATAAGCTTTTCTCACATTAATGTGTTGCTCCTGACACAATTATTCACGCAAGCTCAGCAATGGCATTTAAGACTGAACGTTGATCTCTCAGAATTGCAAAATAAGTAAGTAGGTATGAAAATTCATTCTCTATACCCCGGTCTATCTTTTCAATAATTAAGAGCTTTTTGAAAGAAGGAGGAACATTAAATCAGTTGTGTTTACATACTGTGAAAACACTCTAAAATGCTTATTAGCGGCAAGACCAGAGTTTGTCAGGGTTACAGCAGAAAAGAAGGACTCTGTTTTTGTCAGTTAATTTTTGTGGTTTCACAATGGCTTTATTGTGCCTAATTTATCACATGGAAAAGTAATAAGTGCTGACAAAAATTCTGCTGAGAAAAAAAAAATACCTTGAAACTTTTTTCCATTGGTATCACTCGATGAAAAGTAAACAAATGGCCCCAAAGTCAAATATTTTCGTCGAAAACTCATGTGCTGGGTCTTTTTCTTTTAGATACATGGCAAGGTTTTTAAATATTTTACCATCCGGACAAAGTTATCCAAACTTCAAGTTCATTTCGGATTCACAAATATAACGAGGACCCTCTTTTGTTTCACAGGAAACTCTTGGAGATAGTAAAATCTCTGGAGAAAGATAATTTTAGTGGGGAGAAAACAAGACTAAAGCCGATTAATGAAAGTTCTAAATCCGTTGAACTTTTACGGCTCGAGATAGAGCGTTTGAAAGAAGTCAACAATCAACTTCAAGCCTCATTGGAACTGAAAGACAAAGACGTAAGTTTCTTAAATTTAAGATGCAGAATGTTAGCATAATGAAGTGTAGAGGATGGTCAACTTGGTTGTGCGCGGGTATTGGTCTATCGCACCGGGCCGGAGCCCTTCCTACCAATAGGGGGAGATCCCTTCCGACGAAGCCGCGTTGAGCCCGTATCTGGAAGTCCCTAAGACGACCTCCAGAGGATGGTCAACTTAAATGCCACAAGAAATATGGAAAAGTTTGTTTTACAGACAAAAATTAGACTTATTTAGTTGTAAAATTTTTTCTCAAAAAGTGACCCTCTTTGGAGCTTCAGCCCTAAATCCTGAAAGATCAATTCCTCTACCTCCTATTAACCTTAAAGTTGATCCTACGTATTTTTCTGCGTTACCTATTATTAATTTTGAGCTCTAAACTAGGATTCCATCACTTATTGGAGGGTACTGAAAGGGAGGGACGACGGATTTTTTATCTATTTTTGCCTTTTTTCAGGTTTTTCCCTAAGTTTTAGTAAACTTCATTGACATCTTAAACTAATTGTACCATTTGAAAGATCATTAAGAAACACAACTTTTATGTCCTTTTAATGTCTTTCATTTAACCGTCTGGCCTTCTGATACACATAGGCTAAGCCTCAGTTTGACAGTTCTTCTTTGACAAATTTTTACATAAATATCACATGACTCATATCTAGCATTGATTTCTTGACTGTCCTACAACGTATAATCATTGAGACTGTTTGCTTGTTTTTTGTTTCAGTTTATGATGGCAAATGAAAAGTACAAAGAGATTATAAAGGAAAATGATCACAAACTGCAGCAATTCGGGGGCCAACCAAAAAAAGATCAGGAAACATCGACGGAAAGCTTGCCGATTGAAAAGGTACGTACTTGAGTAGCCTATTCTCATCTGAGGCTAGCTTCATTATTTTTGACGGTTTTGATCAGCATGGCGAAATTTAAAAATTCTGACCCACCAAATCAGATTAACTTTCATTTCTTTTGCTCATCTTTGATTCATCTGAACTCTCGAGCTGAAGAATGGAAGAGCTGAATTTATAGTAAAGCTAAAATGGGAAAAATTAAATAAATAAAATATTTTTGTCACAGGTTTTTATGTAATGTTTGCAATCATTTAAAATGATTAATCATTATTATAATCTGCAAGATATGATGAAATCTGGATTTTTATAATATATCTGAACTCTGCGTGAGGTTAGGCAGTTTGATTCTCACTGGATTAAACTCTATATTCAGGAGCATATTTTTGGACGATTGGAGCGAAAGTATGTACAATTTTCATTTTTCAAGACAATGCAGAAATCAAAGGAACAATATATTGAGCGATAGTGCAAACAATACTCACTCATCAGGAAAGGTGATGTGCTTCTTCAGCACCTCAATGGAAGACCTACTGACGATTCAAGAAAAACGAGTTACAAGATGATCAATTAGAAACAAAATTTTGGTCATTGTAGACCAATAAATGAGCCAATTGATGTTTTTGCCACCTTTCCCTATTGTTAATAACGTTATAAACATGCTATTTTCCATGTAGATTAATTATCTTCAGCTGTCTGCTTTTGACATGCGTGTAATTGTAATTGTCACCTACATCATTTGGTTTTTTGTAGCAATCAAGCACTGAAAAACTTCTGGGAGATTATGAAGCTGTTTTGAGAGAACAGTTGAGCGCAGAATTGATCACAATGAAAGAAGAAATGGCAACTGTACAATCACAACTAACTCTTGCTGAGCAGGTATAGTTTGTTCGCAAATTCTGATTCAAGCATTCATCACGTAGTCGTCAACCTTGTAATGTACAAAGCTGTTGCATTTTAAGTCACCACAGATTTCCTGCCGGTTACATCTATCTTGAAAGTTGGACTACCGATAAAGCCCAAATTAATCGGACATGGTTCCTCCTCGTTGAATATAGAACTAGGACAAAAGAAGACTTCCACTCATATTTGTTCCTGTTAATATAAAGTCTATCTAAACCTTAAGCAATTTATTAGGGAAGGGGGGTATGCCCCCTGGCTGCTACACAGCGCAACCCCCAAGGGTGCAATGCGCCCTCTGAGGCCCACTTTGCAGGCCCCTCTTAAGCTGATATAATTAAAGAGAGCTCATCTAGGGACTATCTCCTATAATTGGACCGCGTTTAACAGAAAGGAACCAAGCCACATCAGCTATTGTCAAATTTAACTGATCAATTTAATTTTTTATGAGAGAGCGTTTGTGCAGATACCTTTAAAAATTCTAAGGAATTTGCTTCGTAATATAGAGAAAATTTACTGTTTGCACAAAAATCTGTACAACCGTTTTCATGTAGGAAATTAAATTGCCCAATTAAATTTGGCAATAGCAGATGTGACTTGGTTCCTTTCTATTTAACGCGGTCCAATTGATAGCCGCAATAATCATACAAATCAGCTAAGTAGATCTTTAGAACCAACTGTGACAAAAAATGAAGATAAGCATTCTTTAAATGGAAAAATTCACAACTTTGGCACCTAATATACAAAATACTGGGTCTTATTTCCAAAATCTGAGTAGAGTGGGCTACTGAGTGGGTATAGGACCTGTCGATAGCTGCAAAAATCATTGAAATCGGCCCAGTAGAACGTGATGAAAAATGAAAATTTAGAGGGTCCGAGAGCTTACAGTAATATAAATGAGCTACATGGTTAAGGAACGACCATGAATTTGGTTTTGTACGAGTGAAATTTAGTAATTAAAAGGCAAATACAGATCAAACATATGTCAGGATCCTGGTTGCATCAGAAAGGAAATTTATTTGCACCTCTGCATTTCAATTTTGTTGTAATGGTGCAAATCTTGTCATGATAAATAGTAATCCCATTATGACATGCAAATCATGAAAACCAATATAATGTGTTGTTTCGTTTTACAGGAGCTTGAGCAGAAATTTAACCAAACCGCAGCATATAATAATATGAAACGAATCATTGATAAGAAGAATCAACAGATCCGAGAACTACGAGCTCAGCTTTCTCATCCTCCGGAGGATAGTAATAATTCAAATTGAAATGAAAATAATTCATTATACTTCTGTTCGGAAAAATGAACCTTTTAAATATTATTTTCACAAGTGGAAAGTTGTATCAGACCCACCATATCACTATAAATTAAATATTTCTTTGAGGATAAGCAGTAACCATTATTTCCACAGTTACATTCATAGCTATCAAGATCCTAATTTTTTTTAGACATCACAGTCTTTGCAAATGAAATTCATCGATCTTTTCAGCCTTAATTTTGTACACTTTCATATTTTGTAGCACATAACTGACCAGAAATGGACAGCTGTGCTCCTTTTAGATGATATGAGAACTAAATTGGAGTTAATTAAGTAAGCGTCAATAAAAAAAATAATTCTAAATCAAGTCTACCTGTCTAAAGAACAGTATGTACGTACATTTCAGTGTGATTTGCCTCTTTCAGTATTTACCTATTTTATTTTTGTTGTTAAATTTAGTTGTTGATAAGGGGTTGAACTAAACAAATTCAACACTCTTTTTATACCATTAAAGTATTTTTTCATACTTTTGTCTCTCTTGTTTTATTTTAGAATATTTTCTTGATAATTTGCAAAATCTTTACTTTTTAGTGACCCTCTGAGAAACCTCCGAAATTTCTTTATGTAATTTATGTAGAATTTTTTCAATTTGATTGATGAAAGACAGTTTGTTTTCCTGCATTAATTTAGGATCTAATTACATACCTATTTGTACATTACAAAGATTGTGCAACTGCCTAGTTTTTGAAAGAAGATTGAGTGGGTGATTTCATGATAACAGGAGTAACAATAACATCTTAGAGCAAGACGATTGAAAACTGAGGTAATAAATCAGAAAGAATGATCAGACCCTTAGCTTGTTTAGCTTGCCATTTCTGATGGGATCTTCAGTGTTAGGAGTTGACACCTGCTTTAATGACGTGCTTGTTAATCATCACAACTTTGCACTAAATTAAAAAATGTGCTTAAATCGCACTATTGCGAACCAAAGTTGGGAAAAGAAAGTTTATTACCTTTAAAATGAAATCGTGAAATTTGGTTTCAATGGGCGCACTTTTATTTAAAAAAAAAAAAAAAAAAATTAAGGTGTTGCAAAATTCAGCTATTCCTGTCATCTTGGAATCACCCAAATTAGTTTCAAATATTTACTTCTTAAAAGAGTAATTTTATCCCTTCAAGTCTTACTTTAATCCGCACGTTGTTAAATTTTTAAAAACTGTATGGATTGCAAGAGTATATCGATGGCGTAAGTCCGCAATCACATATCTCGCTTGCGGTGTCTGAAAATCTCCGCCTCTATGTTATTTTTTTAAAGAAGAACGAATATGACATCATTCCTTGAAGTTTATGCAGAATTCTCTTCGCATAGAGAAGAAAATTCACGGCAGTTTTAAAGAATTGCCGTTGAGAAGTTTTCCATTTCAGAAATAAAGTATGACAGGAAGTCTGCGACATTGCAAACCGAGTTATGTGGTTGCCAACTTACACTGTCGATTTGAAGTTTACCATCTGTAAAAAAATGAAGTCACCTAATATTTACAATGTAAAATTGAAGAGATATTCTGAAACACTGTTCTACTGCAGTAAATTTCAAGATCTCTACATTAGTTATTTTCAGTTTTGCACTTAAAAATTGTATGATGGTGGGCTATCGAAGTTTACTTGATCATCTGCACATAAAAGTTTGAGATTACCAAGGATTTAGAAAAGAAAAAAAACACAAACGTTCTGAAGTACTGAAGAAAACCTGCGAACCGGGTGGCAGGCGGGTGGAAGGGCCGGCCGTCTACACGCAACATTTTGCGATCCCCGCTTTTTCAAAATTGGCGCATTAATTTTGAAAATCTTCCCACGATACAAGTGTATCAACTTATAATTACACGTGGCTTTGATTAGGCTTTGATGGCGAACGTTGATTTCCATTTAACTCCGTCAGCTCTCGCAATTTTTATTAATATGCAGTAACATATTCATCTAAGCCCAAAAATAATATCATTTTGAATTTCAGTCGAGTTTCAGCTTGTTGAAGTTACAGGCTCGATGGTGTATTTTTTGGTTGTTACGTTTCACTGCTGTAAGTTCAAAATAAACAACAAAGTTAGGTTAGGACACGACACGCCGACAAGTGATAAGTAATCAGTGAAATAGTTTGAAGTGCGAGAAAATTATAGATAATTGAAGTGAAGAAAAGCTAGCGATTATGTAAAGCTGTGGAAAAATAATCAGTGGTAATGGGAAAAGGAAACTAAGCCTTCAATGACTACTGAGTTCACCAGAATTCCGAATTCTTTTCACTGCGTTGTGGATGATTTTCCTCCCTGCGGCATCAAATCGTACCATGATTGTAATTTATTTCTGAATCTACTTTTTTGTACGCTATGTGTCTACTGAATGCAACAAACGCAAATTGCTCATTCCGGTGCCTCATCCTTTTATGAGAGTGTAGCAACCCCTTAAAATGGCTCCTGAGAGCGCCTCATCAGCAGTCGTCAGCAAGCAACTCAAAGAAGATGGTTGGTATCATATTACATTTTAGTTTTGGTTCCCTTCTTCATCAGGTTCAGTGCTAGTAAAATGCAAAACATTTTACATGTCCTGCAAGGGGATCATGAGCAAAATCACTTCAGTAAACACCGAAACTGCTATTTTGATATCCGGTTTCTCGAGTACTGTCTATTCCATTTCTAAGAGACCGGGATGAACATGTGGGGAGGGAAACTAAAAAGAATTCCTTTGGGGCGGAAGAATATGAAGGGTAATTACAGACTGGCCTATCTCCTTCTTATCTAGGTATCCTTAATATCTAGGTAATCTAGTCTGGTTCAAGACCTGGTGGACCAGTATTTCTAGTCACCTTTTTGGTCTCGGCCCGCTCCTATCCAGAGAATTATCAATCAGGGCTAGAAATTAACTACCTTCATTTCTTAAATTTCTGAGAAAATTTATAATTAAAGCAAGGCAATTTTCAAGAAATCACACTTTTTATTTTTTAATATTAAGGACTTAGGTAATTAAAAGAAGGATGTCATTCTATGATGATATCCATCACATATCAACGGTGTAAGTACGTAACCATGTATCTTGTTTGCGGCGTTTGAAAATCCCCACACCTATTTTATTTTTTTAAAGGAGAACAAATCGACATCATTCCTTGATGTTTTTGTAGAATTCTCTTGGCACTGAGAAGAAAAATCACGGCAGTTGTAAGAGTTGCTGTTGAGTAGTTTTTCATTTGAAAAATAAAGTACGACAGGAAGTCTGCGACATTGCAAACCGAGATATGTGGTTGCGGACTTACAAAGCCGATATGACAATGTATGGTGCAATGTAGTAAATTGGATGCAAGGCTTCTGTGTTGAGCCATTTACTTATAACTCCACAATTTTTCATACCTAAAGTGCTGTCTAAGGCTATTTGTTGAGGTCTTGATTTCTCTTCCCAATTCCACAAAATTTTTAAAGAGTTTTTTTCTGGATAAAAATTATGACTATCTAATACTCACATGAGAAATCACAACCAGACAAAAGTTGGAAGAAATCTTGTAACAAGTACATTTGTTTCAAATTATTCCAAGTTGTGTCTGTCCAGGATGGATGTTGTATGAAACTAAATAGGTAAATGACGATTTCTTATAACAATGATAATTATATAAAATTTTCTATACTGACATTTCCTTTTGTTTCAGCTTTTCTCAGTCAATTTCTTGAGAGTCAGGATAATGAAAATGAAACTGCTCGAGTGTCGTTTCAGATGCTTGCTGTTTCAGAGCAACTAGCAAAATTAGCTCAAGGTAAGGATTAATTTCATTAATAACTGTCCAAAAATTGCAATGTTGTGAGAAACCTGTTTACTATTCTGAATTCAAAACTATTGTTAAAATTTATTCAGCTGTTATTGTGAATGTAATTCTGTTTCGATTTATTGAGTTTGATTTTTTACAGGAATCAGTTTGCTAGACAAAGAGATAAACAAGCAGGTGTGCGAGAAACATGAAGACCTGATTGCTCAAGCAATTTGGGTAGAAAAATTAGAATCAATATTAGCAATCATGCAGTCACATGTTCAGGTAAACTTCAATTGAGTATTAATTAAACATTAGAATTTTGAAGCAGTGGTGTAGAAAGTTCCAAAAGACCACTTCTCTAGCAATGTAATGCTTTTGCCTCAAAGGCTAATTTTTCTAATCCCCTCAACAGATCTTGGGTAATTTTCTAACTTCTTTAACATTTTCAACCGGAACCTATTTATTCATCATTGATTGCAATGTAACGCTTTTTCCCCAAGGCTGATTTTCCTAATCCCCCTAACGTTTCTACCGCAGGGCGTCTGCCAGTCTGAAATCTATGGAATGTCCGGAAATAGTCCGTACTGATTTTTGGTCAGCCTGTTTTAGTAGACACCCCGTACTGAAATTTTCTAACTCCCTCAAAAGTTTCAAGCAGGGCCAGATTTACATTTTTAACACTTTAGGCTGAACTTTAGTTGGAGTCCTAAAAGAAGGTGCTCTACTGAGACAGATTCTGTGCACTTTAGATTATGAGAAGTATGTTGGGTGACAGGAAAATGTTTTAATTTCATCCTAGAAAGAAAATATTTTAAAAAGATCAGAGGTGTCTGATCACAAACACTTTGACACCAGGTGAAAGCTGATTTTGGAAAATGAAAAGTGACAAAAGACTTAATCTCCAATGGACAAGATCTTTTGTCTACATTATAATACCATCTTGCCATTTTGATCATTCTGATTTGGTATTCTTTTTTTCAGTGTTTACTAGCCTCAGTCGATCGGCTGCGCTTGAAAATTGTCGAGCCTTTCAATAAAATTAAAACACAAACTGTCATGTTGTCAAGACTGCACGATACCTCAGACTTACTCCGACGAATTGCTCAGATTCAGCAGTTGACAAAAAAGTTACCAGGTCAAGAGCTGGTAAAATCTGCATCCTTCATCAATGAAATCGGTACAGTAGCCTATTGCAAATCTTTTTTTTGTTTAGTTAAAGTATACGTATGACCTCCAAAAGAAGAGGGCCGTCAAACTTGAAATTCAGTCATCAGCGTTTTGCTTAGAAAAGGGTTCTATGATCATTTTGGCACCATAAATTCCTATAAATGCTAAGTCAGTTTGGACTTTTGACCTTTTTAAGTTTGCATTTCAAGAGGTGTAGTATGGAGAAAAGATCATTCAGTGTTTTAAGTTGCTACGTTTTGGGCTTAATAATGTTAGTGTTGAAACGTTACTCTTTAACTACTCTCAGCTTATTTTGTCTAAAACTTACGTAGGTATCAAATTTTCATTCAAACTTGACTATAATTTCTCCGTTGCAATGTTTGTCTTCAGGCACTCACAAAGTAATTTAACGAATCTCTCCTTCAAGAATCAATTAATCAAATCAATTGAATTCAAATATCATTAATGTTCTTAGGAGTCAAATAAGTCGTATTAAAACACTTAATGGCTCAGAAACCACTAAAATTCATCCGTAACTGAAAATTTTAGTCCTGTAAATGCTATTAATGAAGTATCACCCTCCTCTTTCTTTTTCAGTTGAATTAAGTAAAGATGTTGATCTATCTGGTCTTGGCATATTTGAAGCTGATCAAAAATTGATCAAATCAGAAATAGCTAGAGTTCAAAATCAGGCTAAGCAGCTATTAAGTCAAGGTTTACAGCAATATAATTTTCAGCAGGTAAGATGAAGTACCATTCGCCTACCGTTTTGATTTTAAAGTCAAGTATTTTTAAAAGATCAGAAACTCAGAATTGATCTTAAGAGTTTTTCCAATATTAATGGCAGATATGCAAATAGTTCTCAGTATGCAAATGGTCAGTGCAAATTGCATGAGTTGCAATTGCACACTAAATGAAATCTCTCTAGATTTTTACTTCAAGTCTACAACGGTTTAAATTTGTAAAAATTTAAAGTAAAATAAAAAGATTCATCACCGCACTCAAATTTTTTTCCATTTTATCTGAGTATTACGTTTTTCTATATGTCATGAAATTTTAAATTTCTCTTGGAATGTAAAGTTTAGACATGATTTTCTGGTCTCAAAGACTTAATGCTTACTCATTTATTATGTTTTGCTTGCAGGTTAGCACAGCAGTTGAAGTGTTACTGCATTTGGGAACATTTGAGAAGGAGCTGAACTTAATCGTGGAGCAGGCTTTAAAGGATATTGAAAATGGTGCTAAAAAGGCTTTGGATATTCAGGTGTTGACTCAGACTCCAGGCGATGAGAAAAGTGCTAAACAGAGAGGTATCTGTCAATCTAGGTGTATTTTTTCACTAAGATTTTCTCACAAAATATTTTCGTCGTAAGTTAATGTGCTGTTAGTCTAACTCAAGTAGATCAAAGGGATTTGTTCTAAATTGCCATTTCATAGCTTTGTCAAAGCTGAATTTTGGGCTAGTAACTACAAAAGTTAAAAAGTCTACTGATTTTTTTTTTGTAACATTTAAATTGTTAAAAGGACTTTTTTTGCATGCACTGTTTACGGTTTCCCTCCAATTTGTTTAGTCCTTATGCTATCTTTGCCTGAAGTTATGAAATTGAGGTTGTAGTTGTATTGGCTGGAACTTTAACTCTGCTTGCAGGACCAGTGGAACCATCAATACCCCAGCAATTAGGCAAAGAACTCCATGCTATGAAAAGAGGAATAGTACTTTTCATCATTGAATAATTATAATAAAATGTTGATGGCTGCTTTTTGGTAACAGCACTTCCATTAAATTCTTTTATTCTTTGCAGGTGGACCCGGCAGAGTCACTGGTAGCACTTTTCCAGGCAGTAACATTGCAAATTTTCGGTCAAAATTATGGTCCTCCTGGGAAAATTTTTTAAATACGGTTGTCTTTTCTTTTTGTGCTCAGGTGAGACAAAGCTTTATACATCAATAGTTATAGACAATTTATCAGCAAAGAGTACCTAGCGAAGTTTTCCCCAAGTGGAAGTAAGGGAATAATTCTTTCTCTATGTATCATGATTCAAATACTTCCTCAAATTGTCATTGCTCGTTTCTTCGATTTTCACAATTCGTCCAAGTACTTAAAATCGAATTTTTCCTCCAAAATTTGGGATTTGATATGAAGAATATGGACTTGTTACAAATTGATCAATTATCAAGATACATCCGATTCGTCTGGGATTGATGATGTGTAAAGATGATGGTCGTTACCACCTTAAGAAATGTTGAATACAGGGAAGAAGTTTTTGCCTTATTTTTTTACATTGTTTGAAAAGCCTATTCAAATCCCATAAAATATTTTGTCTAAATTCAGGAATAGAATTTCAGATGATTTTCTATAGTGTCAAGTATAGGCGGAATTGACTGCAGAATTGATATTATGAACAAATTTTAACCTGGATCAGGGTTGCAAAAACTTCCTGACCCTGCAACCACGGTTGTGTCAAAAAGGGGGAAAGCTGGAGTTCGTTAGTGTAAAAATTGTATTTTTTTTTTGAAATATTGCAATGAAAATCATGTAATTTTAGCAAAACTGCGGCAGTTCATAAATTAATAGAACAAATGAAAAAAGGCATCAATCACTTTTAAACATTTTAAGAAGGAAAGGACTTTCAAGAAGGGCAGACGAGCAACTTTATGCATCACTGATCTTAATTTTGGTATTTTGAGGGTGTTGAGGTTAAAAATTTCAGCATACATACTTTTTACTTATTGTAGAGACTCATTAAAATTAAAAATGCTTTCAGATGGCTGTGCTTCAAGCAGTATTAACAAAGTACCTTTCAATTTCAATTGTATCTGTATCATCTACATCATCAGTGGAAAATGTGTCAAAAACAGCTGCCACTTTTTGGCCCCGGGTGAATGAGATAATGAATAAACAGCTATCCCATGCTTCACAAGGTCAGTATTACCAGCAGTTCTATAAATCTAATATCATTAGCTACGTTTATGCGAGGCTCGAAACCGGGGTTTCACGAAACCCGAGTTTGTAATGCAAGTTTCCTCCGTCGGGTTTATGCGGGCGCTGTAACCCGACTTTCGCGGGAAATCAAACTTTCCGATTTTGGCGCTGTTTATGCGCATGTTTTCGATTGAACTTGAATTTCATGTTGGCGCCATTTTCACAAGTTATACTTCATTTTTCCACTATGAATTGATTCAATAAATTATTAGGTATTTCTCTTTTATCCTGTGTATGTTCAATTTTTCCACAATATATAAGCGGAGGCTTCATCTTCACTAGAAAAGCCTTTACTGACTTTCTGAGCAACAGTTGGAAAAATGACAGTAGATGTTTAATCATTTTACGTTTATCTTTAAAATTGAATGAATACCTAATCTCAACAATCCTCCAAATCATGCTCGAGCTTATATTCTGACTTCAGAAAAGTTGCCATAGGTAATTTTTAGTCATTTTAAAAATAATTATGGCAGGCGCAGAAATTCATCATGTTGTTGATTGAGCTTCTAATGATCTTACAATAGGTAGATATAGGCATTGAAAGTGTAGGAGTGCTAATCCAATAAAGCACCGCACCTTCACTCCATGCTGTCGTAAAGATTGTATGTCTGCCATTATTGTGGTGAAACAAATAAAGAATCGGGATATACTTATGGGAATTCCTCCTTCAAGATATGATCAAAATAAGCAGATATTGATAGGTCAACAATGTATCGCTGAAGCAGAAGCGTCTAAATCCTCTTGAGGCAACGGACGGTGACAATCTCAACAAACTGGTGACGCTTCACAAATTTTGAATTTCCACATTCCCAGAGACACGCGCTGAAATCCTGTTTCTCACCCCTCTTTCCGACTGCTCTCCCAGTCCATGAGCAAGTCAGGAAGAAAATAGGCAAGCTACCTACCACTGTTTGCCTACCTATGTGTGTTTTTCTTAAACTTGATTTTCAAAGGTGACTCATGTAAAGAGCAACTGACAAACAAGATTTCAGAACCGGCCATTGCATTTCACTAACCTAAGACACAAACCCAACCTTACCATTGATGTTCTTTCGCTTACACTGTATATTATTCTCCCACTGAGATTCGATATGAACTCAATTCAAAAATCCTTCTGAATTTAATTATTCAGGAAGATTGGAATTTGGAGCTCTCAGTCTATCTGTAAAGCGCATTTACTAACATTCACTGCTGTCACAAGATATTTTTGCACAGGCAGAGCCACTTTCCACAGTTGATGCATCTCTAACGCCAAAGCTCAATTATGACAAGTGGTTCAACGACCAAAAATTGTTACACGCCTCACTAAAAACCTTATTCTTATCTCAAATTGAAAATCTTGGATCACAGAGCACTCACCGAAGAATCTCCTTCCTTCTGCATCAGTATGAGAAGAGTGACGATACTTTGGAGCAATAACTTTGAACTAGTTTCAATAAATGATGGCTTCAGAATTTGAGTCATCATTTACTAGAGATTGGATCAAAGAAATAAGTCAGCAGGTCACGGTTGTGGCTGGAGTCACACTTCCAGTAGGACAATCAGGAAATACGTACACGGATAACACACAAATTCAAGAGCTATGCAGCTCTGATTGGATCAGATTTTAGATTTAATCGGTAGATTGAAATGAAAAAATTCGGTGCACTACTTAAAGGGAAGCAGGGTGCCTTATCTTGAAATCCTAGGCAAATCGTGTGGAAACGGTAAAAAAGTTCTCCGCAGATGATGAACTGGTAGGTAAGGCTATTACTCAATTGTAGCCTGTAAAGCTCTTTGCTTGCTTTGCTTCTGTGGTCATAAAATGTTGATTAGAGTTGCAAGAATTATCTGAAAAAGCAGTAATAAGCCTGGATTCCATCTGACACTAAACACCTTCACTAGAAAATAACGTCCTACGTTTAGCTAAATAAGGATAAATAAGCCACATTTAACTGAAGGAATCACGTAAAAGTGCTGAAGCAACAATTAAAGTAAAATTATTATTGTAAAAATGTTAAATAATGGCAAAATTAAAGCTAAATCGTGAGATAAGCACCAGTTGTTTACGAACGTTATGATAATAAATCCGCCATATTGCCGATCGCGCACCTGAAAATCGCATTTGAAGTCGAATTTCAACTAATTTCAACCTCCGGTTCGTTTATGCGGAGTGCGAAAACCTAGTCTTTAGTGTAAAATAAGGTTTCAAACACAAATTTCGGAAACCTACATTTCGTTAGTTCCGTATCGTTTATGCCGTGATTTGAACCCTGGTTTCAAACTCAGGTTTCGATTGAAGTTAGGTTAAGAGGCTCGCATGAACATAGCTATTGATACCTAATTCTCTGTTTCAAGTTCAAAATGAAGGAAGTAATACCAGAGTCAGATTTTCCATGGTATATTGAAATTTCAAGTCAGAGTATAATTTTGGGATGGGCGCAGAAAAAATTGGTCGGTTTCTGCTTGTTTTTTTCTCCTATCTAATTTTAAAAATTTGGATGTAAGTTGCTAGTACAGTGATCATTCTCTTTATAGGGTTGCCACAGTCAGGGAAAACCGGAAAATTTCAGGGAAAATTTGTTATATCACCTTCATTTGCTTTCTAGAATGGGTTTAAGGTTTCGAACAACAAATTTTGCCTGAAAACTATTTTCAATTATGCCTTCTCAACCATCTGTCACATCTTCAACTGCCAGGGAATTTTGCCAAAATGTTTCAGGGAAATCAGGGAAATGCCAGGGATTTTTTTTTCTAAATTCTGTTGCAACCCTGTCTCTAATGACACGAAGGAAATTTTCAGTCTCTGGAATTTACTACAGTTGTTAAGCGCAGCTCGTTATGAAACAAATTTCTCCATTGGAAACAATCATTTGGTCCCTCGCTGATTCGTTATGGAATTTTTTTAAACAAAGTATGTTTTTACATCAATTAAGTGATCAATCAATGCTTTTCTAGGGTCTACTTTTATCAAACAAGCTCTCGAAGGGGAATATCCAAAATTATTGAGACTTCATCTAGATCTCCACAAAAAGCTGATCAAACAATGTCAACCGGATAAAGAAACCATTGATTGTGATGTTGCAGCAATCTTTCCTTCTGTGTAAGTAAACCGTCTTTTGTATATGAAGTTCACTTGTCATTCAAGAATGCTAAATAACAGGAGATATGAATTTTACCCGCAACATGCAGGAATTTCTCTTTCAAAGGTTGTAACTTTCTTGACCAAGTTTCATACTTTAATTATTCGGAGATATATCTTGAAATTTTCACTATTTGGGTGACAAGAAATCTCTCAATACTTAATTTCTCTTTCAATTTCCACTGTGATCGGTCTGATAAAAGTTACATGAACTTAAAAGTTCATTAATTATCGATAAGGCTGTGCATATGTGTTGCAAGATTTGATTAGGACAGGAAAAAATAGTGAAAAAAACAGAATTGAAGTACAGAAGTAACTCGCAGGCAAATCAAGGATGCATTTTTTGGTGTTAAAAGTAATTTTGCTTATTTAAACTTGGAAGTATGTGAACTCGATTCAATTCGAGAGTTATTCCAAAAGCTCTAAAAAGCTTGAACTCACCTGAAAAAAGCAGAAAAAAACTGAAACTTGATTTAAACCAGGAAAACCAGGCTTCCATAGCCCTAGGTGTGGACTTCGATTAATTATGTGAATTCCTATGTTCCCCTCAAGGTGTCACAACAATATATAAATATCTTTAAAGTTTTTTGGATGGAGTATTATTTTTTTTTAAGAATATGAATTTTTTTACTCGAAAAGCTCTGAATGTGGAGTTTCTCCCTAATGGGAACATTTCGCAGAAAAATTAAGGTCTTTCAACCCTGTCAATGAATCTTGGAATTTTGATTTCCCCTACCCATTGAATTTTTTCACTAACTTTCAGACATGATTTTGGCCACCAATTTGAAAGCGCATACTTGACTCACTCCGTGGCTCGGCTCCTTAACTCTGTTCATCAAATGTTTGCAGGCGAATCCGTCCCTTCAACTGAAGAAGTTGATTCCTTGATTAGAGTCATCACCAGGTAATGTTGAGCCATACATATTTTGTGTGGTGTAACGGTTCTTACTTGTTACAAAAAAATAAATTCTTAATCAACTTTTCAGTGACCAATAAGAGAGCTGTAGAGAGTGCAGGATGCACTCCAGGGTGGCGGATAGGGAGAAGCCCATCAGTTATGGACTGCATTTTGTGATTCACAACTACAATTTTTGTCTCAGTTCAGAAACAACATATATCCCATTCGTTTTTCTTTGTACATTAGTGTTTTTACAGATGAGCCAAAAATTGTGGTTCCTTATTGCAAAATGCTGTCCATGATGGGTAGGTGACTTGTTACCTACGGACTATGCAGTCATACCAAAGAGGGCTTTTATCTATGTTTGAAGCAACCTGTCCATAAAAAAGCACTTTAAAGAGTCCTCCAGGCTGGGGCTTGAGTCATCAGGGTTGAGCTGATACCTTGATACTTTTGAAAAATTCATTGTTAAAGAACTAGAGAACACTAACCTCAGTGCCATTTAAATTCAACAAAAAATCGATTAAAGTTGAGGAAAAGGACTTTTCAAGTCAGACTCTCTCAACAGAATTGGAAAGAGATGCATTGCCGTGTGTTTTTACCGAGAATTCTGATAAAGTAAATATGTCTCTTGATTGTAGTACTTCATGACTTTTTATTTGGTATCTTCATTATCGGAATTTTTTTTTCCTACTCTAATGCACCTTTTCTAATTGTTGTTCTGCCATTCATAGAAACAATTTTAAAATCTATTCTCTGATATGTTGATTTTAAATGAAATTCCTAATTTAAAATCACTAAGTACCCTCAGCATCCCTTTATTTGTGAAATGTTGCCTGGTCTATTTCCCCCTCCCCATCATCCCAAAATTGCAACTCCCTTGTTTGCCATTTTTCAGTGAAATGAGTGTATCCTTAGTTGATGAGGCACTATCATGTACAGTGGCTCGAAATATAGGCAAAGCTGTCAGATTGTTTTGCTTGAAAAGTGAACAAATGCTGTGTGCGTCTGGCGAGGCTACTCAAGTCATTGGTGAGTGTTACATGATTTGGACCCATAGTTGTGTAAGATTTGAAAAATTGGTAGGAAACAAAGTTGACAAGAAGCTCTTAAATTTCCTCAATAATTTTTCCCACGAAAAACCCTGATGGCATTTAGATTATATCAATACAGTAATAGTGATTAAATGAATTGATTTGTCAGTTCCCTCATGAGGACTGATTAGAGTCTTTCAAATTCAGGCTTCGCTAGATTAAAAATCACATTCCGTTTTAAATCTGATGATTGCCTTTTTCAGGATTTTATTCTTCAATTTTGACTTACCTTCTATGAAAATGTTAATATTCTCTCTATTTCCAAATATTTCAGTAGAAATCAAAACTTGCTTTTGTGAAAATTATCCGCTGATCTAGGTTTAGGTTTAATAAAAAAATTTCTGTGTCGCCACATGATGCCAATCGGAAGTCACTGCATCACGCCACAACCTCAGCTGCACATGGGCATTTAAGCTGCAACTTTGATATGTGCATGCAAAAAATTTATGTAATTTTCAAGTAACTACTAAACTTACCAATAAACCACACTGCTGGATCTCCTAATGTTGTTAAATACCATGATTTTTTTTCTTTTACCACTTCTTTTTCTTTTATTATTTTTGAATCATTACCTTTTTTTATTGTTGTTAAATATCATCGAATTTTCAATCAATATTCTTATTTCTTCCTTCAGAGCCACCTACTGCTGGACAGAAGCTGAATGTCTCAATAGCAAACATAGTATTCTATCTTATTTCTCAGTTGCGAAGAGTTTTGGCTAATACGGCAACAAGTTTTCCTGAGGCAGCGTCTGCAGAAGTTGTAAAATCTTTTGGCAATGCTGAAAATCTGGAGAAAATAATTTTGACTCCTCTTTTAGCAAGCATAACTGATTCCATTGAAGCAATAATTCTAACCATGCACCAAGAAGATTATTCAGCGTGAGTAATGTCTTTCTTAATTGTCAATTTTTGATAGAGAACAGTGCAGCTATCCAAAATTATTTATATAATAATATTGTTATCTCCAAAATTTAATGCTACATTGTAGTAGTGTTAGGGTAAAAATAAATGTAAGTAAGAAGATGTAAGTTCTTTCTTACAGTAACTTACAAAGAATTTGAGCATTATTTCGTTGGTCAGGTATTAAGAGGTTTTTTCAGAAGCATATTTTATTATTTGTGTGAAATTTTTTTAGGGATGAAGGGTCAACCAATCCATCAGCTTACATGCGCGAATTGCGTGAATTTGTCGCCCGGGTAGTATCCGGGTATCTAGCCCCATTCCATAATCAGCCATTTATTCTTCAAAGGTAAGCTGCTTTTCTTTTGTCTTTTTTATGATTTAATGTTATGAAGTTTTGACATAATTTTAAACGATAAGGTTTTATATTCAGGCCTTTGTTAAGGTATTAAAGTTTATAAATTTAGTGTGTAAAATCACTGTATATCACAACATTTTTTTAAGATGGTGGACTGCATTTGGCAGACTAAAAGTCTATATATAAATGTAACTGGATCCATGAAAAGGGACATTGTCTTCCAGGAGGAAACCTTCCTTAACTTTTTGCAAATTCACGGTGGATGAAAATTTAGAAATTTTGGTCCAAAGACCCTAAAATCTCAAAAATTGTAGGAGATCATGTTTAGCCCTGAAGTTCTGAGACAAAAATTCTTAGGTTGTAAAAAATTGTGGTTTAAGTGTTTGCAAAAAGATAGTGAACATTTTTCCCCAGAAGATAAGGTTCCTTCTTTTACAGATCCAGTCGCAAATTCCTCTTGCATCATGGTAATTGTAGATTTTGCCATTATCATTTTTAAGGTGTACATTTTGTAACCTGATCAATAAGGGAAGGTCAAAAAGTTAAAAAACTGGATTTCTTTTAGATGTGTTCAGATGATTCTCAATACGAACAATCAATTTTAAAAGCCGAATATGTTTTAGATGAAGTTCGACCAGTCCCAATATGATAAATTATCATGTCCACAATTTTAACTATCAGCAGTTCATTTAGGACTCATGGAATAGCATTTTACATTGAAAATAATACTTGATCGTTTTAAATTTGTTTTCTGCCATCCTAATGTCCTTTTTTTTTTTCAGCTGCAAAAATGTAGCAATTAGAACCATTGATCTATTCCTTCGACATGTCTGTCTTGTGAGGCCTCTCGGAAGAGCTGGTCGGGCTAAACTTTCAAATGATTTTCTACAGGTAAGACATTAAATGATAAAATCTTAGTTATTCTAATTTTAATTTTCAATCTTTCATTCTAAGTTGTAGATCACTACTTAAAATAGAGGCACCTTGTGAGTGGACTCTTTTGAAACTCAATGAATATCGTTAGGTTTTCACAGTGAAGGCAATGGAAGCTAATAAGCTACTCAAATTTGGTGAATGGAACTGAGAATTGATAACTTTATTAGTCCTCTTTATCTTGCAGGATTTATGACCAGATCTGTGGAAAGGAACCGTATCCTCTGGGAGAAAATTTTTCCTAACTTTCCGCAAATGCTTGAACAACGTTTTTCCACAACCTGAGATTTTCTGTCTTAGACTAATATCTCCTTCAATTTTTGAGATTTCAGGTTCATGTACTCTCGCACTAACATTTCTTTTTCTTCTTCCATGCATTTGCAAAATGTAAAGGAAATTACTCTCTCAGAGGATAAGATATCTTTCGCATCTGATTACATTTTCCGTCAGCTTAGTTCTAATAATTATTGTTGAGACATTGTCCCCATCAGGCTTTTTGACAATTGATTTTAATTAGGGGCGCAAGATAAATTTTGAGAATTGTAGCTCTCAAAAATAATTCTTTCGATTTTTAATGTGATATTCTAAATTTCCTCATATTCCACCCCTAAATTCACCGAGGATGTAAGTTAAAGTGTGAAAACCCTCGTCAACAAGATTCAAAGAAATTATTCATAATCTTCGTTTTCAAATCGCAATATTGCATTCTTTTTTTTACAGATCGAAGTTGATATACAACCTTTGTGTAAGCAAGTATCAGAATTAGGCAAGAGTTATCGCATCTTGAGGTATTTGAGGCCTCTTTTAACTCAAACACCCGAAGAAATAGTGAAATGCCCTCTAATAGGAGATATAATTCCTTACAGTCTTGTCCTAATGCTTCTTTTTTCACATGCTCCTGCGAAAATTATGTCACCACATCAGGTAAGATCATTAATTATCGTATGCTTTTTTCAAGAGGAAAATAACTTAGAGACGTTTCATGTTTGGAGACCTTCTCTCATATTTTTCAGATCATGTCAAAAAAAAAAAGGTTTTATGACAGAAAGAATAACTTCGCGGAACAAAATTTTTTCTTGATTAATTTTTGTATGACGGAAGATGAAAACTCAGAAATCTGCTCGCAGTGGATAAGCCTATTATGACTTCTAATATTGAGGCATGTTTAAACCAACCCAGTAGACGAAGGTAATTTTTGGAGGACATTGAGACAGCGATAGATTCTCACAGTATTCATGAGGCTGAATGTAAATCTTGGCTCTTCTTGGAACTTTAATAGCTCAGTCCCATTGAAAAATAAGTTTGAAAATCACTAATTCACTAACATTTGACGTTTGGATGGGCAAAAATTCAGCAAAGTTTAGTAGCCAATGTTAATTTTGACATGTTCGAGATTAAGTTTTCTTTTTCGTCACAGTTTCTCTTATGTTTGCTCAATGCTTAATTTGGTCCAGTTTCCTACTATGTATCAGCAATAGTCTGATTTTACTCTTTAAGGCACGACCTCTCTCCCTTTTGATGTAAAGGAGTTTTGGTTTTGTTAGGTCTGAGTCCTTAAAGTTTTAAGTTTTTCTGTTCTCAATCCAATCAGGTTTCCTCCAAGTATGAAGCTGCAAAATTTTTAAATGTAAAAACTTCTACTTTCTGTTGTTAATACTCGAATATGTTTTGACCGGCTGATGCCCATCATCTTGAGCAAACTGTTTTCTGAACACTATCGGCCCTCCTTGTTTGTGGCAATGAATCTTTGGTTCGGTCCTGCATTTTAGTTTTTCTCTCTCCAACGATAACTTGTTTTACTGTACCTAAATTCGACCCTCTTTCATTCTTCCCCTGATTTTGTGATTCCTACGCTTTTGACAGCTGTAAATAAACGAAATATGTAAAAGCTTCGTAATGGCTTTCATCTCTAAATTTTAACTTAGTTCACTACTTATATAAACCATGTAGAATTTCAGTGGCTTTTCTATGAATTGTAGGACCATTTAAAAATATCCAAAGTTACTTATTTTGGCAAAATGAAACATTTTGCTAAGAATGGGAGAACCAAATAAAATTGGTAAAGGAATAGGTCAATCGTGTGCATACTCGAATCGATGTAATTTCATTAAATGATCTCTGAATGAATTTCTGGTTGTTTTCAATTTTGTGATAGGCACAACTAATACAGCTAATCTATTTTCTAGAGTGCAAACTGGTCTCAAGCGCGTTTGTCTCAGTGGCTAGATTCACATACTAATGAACGAGATCGACTTGAGCTGATCAGTGGGACGCTTCATAAGTACCAGCAGACAGTGCGACAAAGTAATCAAACCAACTTCCATCCAATTTTCCCCATTTTCATGGCCTTATTGGAGAAAGGTTTTAAATCTTTAGCTTAGTGCTATTGGTTCGATTCCGTTGAATTTCGACTATTTTTCAGTTTTCTTGTTATTGCTTGTTCCTATGTTGTTTATTATAATTATTATCATAATGAACTTCTTTCGAGTATATATTTTATCAAAATGAAAAAAATGCTGCAAGTTTTTCAGGAAGGCTATTTTTAGTCATTTTTTAAACACGTAGATAGGGGAAACATTTGCAAAGTAGCGGAATTGCCATTAGGTACAATCAGCCCCTGATTGTGAGCTTTGAAAGCTAACATTGCTAATAGACTTATCCAAGTGTACCAACCCAAGGTGCTCTTGCTCTATCCATCGAATCAAATGAGGTGTGCATTTTTGAGTTTTGAAAAGCTGTTTTCATAGAGGATGAAATAATTTAAAGTTCGAGTGTTTCATCGGCTACCTCTAAAGTCACTTGTTAGATTGCCTTCCATCGTTTGAATAAGCTGAATAAGCTTGAGTCAACACTTTTATTTTAAATTCATCAAAAGACAGGAAAAATTTCAAGACATTGTCCAAGGTTTAGTAATAAGTTTATTTGTCTTATTCCATGAAGAACATCATGACACAGCATGATATCTTTAACTTGATGTTTTTATCTCAACGAAAATTCATTTTCGTTGAATTTACAAAAGTCCAAAAGCCTTCTCAATAAAAGTTTTCTACAACATTTAGAATCTTTTTTATGAAGTGTAAAACATGTTGGTGAACCTTAATTGCAATTTTTCGTGATCATGTTTAGAAATTGTGAAGAAACATTATTTTGCAAAGTCGATTTTGTGTACAAATGTAGAAAAGTATAAACGTACCAAGTTAGAAATGGATGAAAAAATTGGTCTAGTGATACCACTGATGAAAAAAAATAGTACTTAAAATAGTACTTATCGATAATTTTTTTTTATTTTTTTGAGAGAGAGCAGTATCAGTGATACAATAAAAAATTTAAGTTTTACGAATAGTTTAAAAATATTTCAAGTATTCCAGGTTCTGTCAAAAAATTCTAATAAAATGGAGCTCCTTTGAATAGAAATGAATCTCAGGAATAAATGAGACCATCCAGCATTAAAGGCGGGAGATACATTTCGATCCTAAATATTCAATGAAAATTTCAAAATGATTTTAACAAATCTTTCAGTTTTTTTTACACTTTCTACTGCTTTACGTTTCAGAGGTTGTAGACTAAGGCAGAATTTTGAACAAACTTATGAGTACATAGATAATATTTTTGACTAGATATTGGAGACCATTTATAATGATTTCATTCATTCATCCTCTTATTAGATTACCTATTTACAGTTATTATATGCTCTGGAAATAAAAAAAAACAAAAAATAGAATTATCACGATTCGCTCTTTGCTAAATAACTTATGAGATGATTTGAAAAATGATATCAATAACACATTGAAGAGTAATAAAGTAAGTGAGTCACGTTCACGCTCACATTCTTGCTTTGCAATTATAGAGTTATCATGTACTTAGTACATATGTAATGCAGAACAACATCCACTATTTGATAATACTATTTTCTTGATAAATATTTTTTTAAGAAAGAGCAAATCTAAAACAATGAATTAAACATTTTTAATCGTCTAATCTACCTAAATTACTCGGATAAAATTTAAAAATAAAATACAAATCAGTTAATAACTAAAGGTTTAAGATACATCAGTAAAAATCAAGTTCAAAACTTAACTCATCTTGATAAATTACGCAAATATCACATTAGTGCCTCCTTGGATTTTGGAGTATTCATTTTAAAACTGAACGAAATCCAATTATTACCGCTCATTGGTGGTAAAATATTTTTGTATAATATTTCATGGTAAATATATTTATTTCATCAAATATTATCTGTTGTATGAAAGTAAAAATTAAAATCATGTTAGTATCTCAGGTAGTCACATGTTTTACACACCGTTTTTTGTTATTTTGAGGCTCAAAAAACCATGCTTATATTCCTCCCTCAATAATTGATCAAAAGTAGATGTTTCCTATTGCCACAACTATTAGTAACAAAACCCAATTGTGCGCAACATTCTTAGTTTCCTTGTATTTCTAGTTTCTGCTTTTCGCTTATTGTTGGTGGAAAATATCAATTATTTTTTTAACATGTAGCAATTGCTTTACCAAACAAAGTGAATTCATTGGACGTGGTCAAAAAGTTTAGCTGATAAACCGGTCTTTACTGCTCTTTCCTTGTCTGGCTCTTGGAGCCCAAATTTGCCAATTAGGTTTTCTGCTTCTGTCCTTACAAGCGTCAATAGCATATCATAGTTTGCCTCTTAGGGGTATCAGTATTGCCAGCGTAATAAGAGGAGCTAAAGTATCCATTTCAACGAATGTTAGTTTTCGATGGAGGAAATGTTAGTTGTATCATATTACATGAACACAACCGTCATTATTTTTCATTCTATCCTATCTTTATCTCTCTCACTCTCATTACAGTTCTCTTTCATACTAAATTCAGCTTTCAATCGATTCTCCAGTCTTTTTTGATTTTCTCGAAGTCTTATCAATGCTTGGAGACTGTTATCTTCTGATGATTCCTATGATAGATAGACTTGCCACCTCGCTTGAGTATGATGTCATCTTTTCTATAAAGTACCAGATCTTATTTTGATTCTTGGTCATTCAGTGTGGTGTAGTATTATTTCCAATGAATGCACTTCGATGAAACCATTTTCATTCCTTTTATTATATTCGCGTTTTCAAAATTGCGTTCAATTTTTTCAATGTAATAAGAAGAATTGTTGGATTTTTTTTTATTTATTGAGGGAGATAACTCGGTTGTTCCTACACAGGTTAGTACTCGAGACAAAAGTGCGAGCTTACTAACCTTACCGGAAAACGAATGACAACTTTAAAGTTTCTCATCATTGAGTCATTGTGTTTAATAAATGTATGGCACCAAAGAACATTCAGTTTTAAACTGTTTAATTGCATTACCAGAACAAAACTGTTCCGAATCCACAGCCCTTTTGCTCAGCCTCTCGCCGCACAGAATTAATCTTCCTTTTTAGAGATTTTTAAACACTTGTGCCGATCGGTATGTTTACATTGACATGCTGTGAAGGTAAACAATTTTGTGTTGGTGGTTCACACTTTTCTGACATAACTGTCAATACTTGCTCAAATTTGGAGTGCCTATCACCATACGAAGCTGCCGCTCCCCGACTACCCCATAGGAATTTCAAGTAGAATTCTGTACGGAACATATCCAGAAGCAGGTCGTCAATTTTGGAATCCCCTAAAACAATTTCGGAGTTCCTCTTGAAAGACGCTGCACAGGATCCAAATTTTCTTGAAAATTCAAGGTGGGCGAAGAATGTACCCAAGCCGAGATCAGCAGATGTTTCCCATGAATTGATACATGTTGATATTAGATTGTTATTTTCCGAAAAAGTGTCATCTGAAATGAAGAGATAATAAAGCTGTCAATATTTTTAGTTCTAAAACTATTTGAACAGTTGAAAAGTATGCAAAGACAGAACATATTATAATAATTTTGGAATATTTTAAAATTTTGATAACTTAGCTGTTTTCTCTTAATTTATGGAATAGACATGTTTGCCTGCAGTACTTAACCTATACCTACATCATTCCCATTCTTTAATCCAGTATGCAATCAACAGGATGCATATTTTATACATTATTTGATCCAAGTATACAATATATTCAAACCCAGGGCAGGCTAAGTTAATATCGAGATTTAATTTTTCCCCCCTTAAAAATCTAGTACAGCAAAGTCAAAAAATACATTTCACCCATTACAACCTGACCAAAAAAATGGAACATGAATGGAAATATTTAAACTTTGATATGATGATGTGCATTTTCAACTTCAGCTGTCAATGTCATATTTTGATTCTGAGGTCAGTCATTCGATATCTTTTTGAATGTAAGGAACTTAGGGTAAAAATATTGTGGAAAATCTCAAAATTTGATTTTATGAAAATCTAAAATGAGAACTTGAACAATTTATCTCGGTAGCAAGATGTAACTTACCTAAAATTTCGTCAGCAGTCTTCTCCTGAAGGAGTAATATTGGTAGAATGTGAGGAATTGTTGTGTTCGGTGCTTGTGGATTGGAGCACTCATTCATGTTTTTTAAAGTTGGCCTCAATTTAGCCTCAAAATTAAAAGCGCTATCTGTGAATTTCTGGCGTAGAATATGCCATGTTGTGTTCAGCCGCTGAATCTGGAAATTAAAAATATAATGTGTTATTTGATTCCAACTAATATTATCCACAGGATAATTTTTTTAGTATTTAATTCAGTACCTAAAAGATAAACTACAATAGAAAGCCTCTGCAATTAATGATTCAAATTACTTAATGCCTTGATTAAAGTGCTAAATATAGCTTTAAAATATCCTAGTTTCTGTGCTTCAAAACCTCTTTTTAATTGCATTTATCTCCTGAGGAAAACGCATGTGTCGGACTTTGCTTTATGTAACAAAGAATCCCCGGAAATTAATCTCTCATCAGGCCCATTAGCTCTCCTTAATTTTAGTTATTTGTATCTAATATAATTATGCGAATGGGAAAAATACATACTTGAGGCATGCACAGACCCAGCATGACGGAGGAAAATCCATATAGATTGCCTAAAGCTGTTTTGCTGTCGATTGCCACCTGGATCCATTTATTCAAAGCCTCAGCTCGCTCCGATTCATTTGTGCTTGTCAGTATTGTCACGGCTACAAACAGCTTTATGCACTGAATCCTGAAACAAGAAATTAAATCAAAGTGTAAAATCGGCTTGTCTCCTTGTTTCCAACTGACGCAAAGAAGAACAATAATGTGATCTAACCCAAGAGTTTATTGAGCAACGAATTAGAATGTCAGTTTGTCATCTGAGTTTCTTCTTTCTTTAAGTGCGAAGAAGATTTACTGATTACAAGGCATAGTAGGGAGAGACAGTCTCCATTAGTGTGCAGTACTTCCTCTTCGGATTCAGTCATGTTTTCATCTAAAGAAGCTCTCAAAAAATTATCTATGAATTACATTCAATGCAGGGCCGGATTCACCTACTTGCCGCCCATGGGCCGCCTATATTTTGTCGCCCCCTTCTCACTCGTTTTGAAACCCGATAAAAACCATCAAATGAACGTGCGGGGGAGGGGTGCATAAGACGCATTTACTCGTGTTGAACACATTTTTTGGGAAAGCCCTGTCAACACTACTAGCAAAAGTTCACGAAACTTTACGCGAAAGTTAAGTTCCATAAACCTATCTCTGTGTGGACAAGGCCTTCCATTCATAAGAAATGAACGAACAAATTACGAAAGAACAAACATAAATGTGGTTCAATGATTTTAACTTCCGCCGCCGCGCCGCGCAGATCGCACCGCGTTGGACGCAATGCGTGAAGTATTCACGCAGTCTTGTAGGCGCTATGCGTTTCACGCTGACCGCACTGTGTTTGGCGCAATGCGTGAAGTATTCATGTATTCTTGTAGGCGCTATCCGTTTCACGCTGACCGCAATGACCGCACTGTGTTTGATGCAATACGTGAAGTATTCGTGCAGTCTTGTAGGCGCTAATATGTGTTACACGCCGATCGCCGCGCCGAGGGCTTCTCCTTTTCATCTCAAGTCCTCGTTATCATTTCTCTTTAAGTCGCGCCGTTCTAAGCCAAATTGCGTGTTTGGTTTCTCTCGTAACTCGACTTATTGAACTCTTGTATCACTAAGAGACGACCAAATTAGAAATTACTATACCTACTCTCAGGAAATGAGATATTTTGTCGCCTTTCTCGTTTGTAATTTTGTTTTTATAAATCCGATTTTTTTTTATACCTACTCTTAAAAAATTGCAAATTTTTGCCGCCATGGGCCGCGGCCCTTGTGGCCAACTCCTCATCAATCCGGCCCTGATTCAATGTATACAAAACTTTATTCAGGAATCAGTAAAAATTTCTTTTGAACTTCAATCACTTAGGAAGAGCACTTATTAAGTTTAAGAGTTGCCTGAATGTTTGATTGTTGAGTTGAATGTTTCTTTCAAATTGGTTCAAAAATACCTAATTTTTTATTTTTCATATTTTTAATATTCTTGCTAGCAGCAACACAACAAAAAAACTGCAGATGAAGCTCACCTTTCAATTAAATCCAAACGAAGTTGATGACCATGAGGAAGACAACATAATTCTATTCCAGAAACGTTACCAAAGTCGTAGTTTTTATCCTCTGAAGAATTACTGTATGTTCGAAGAACTAGTTCCATATCAACCCTTGTCAAGTGATTTGCCAAAATCCTTGAGCCTGTTTCGTGAAGTATTCCTCTGACAACTTGAAGAGCGGTACTATCCAAAGGTTTATTTTCAATAGATGGTAATAAGAGAGTGTGAAAATTTTCTATGTCGTATAGAGATGGGAAGTCCACATTAATGTTCTCTAGTTCTAATGAGGAATCATCTAAAGCCATGTCAAAAGCTTTTAAAGTAGTTGAAGAACAAGACGATGGAATCGCTTTGGTATGATAATGAGGATTTTTTATAACAACACCAGGCCTGTTTAAAGGTAGCGTTGAAACAGGAGTTGTTGATTCTGAACTGTCTCCGTTTGCTGAACTCTGGACTGAATCTCCAGAGCCATTGCCAGAATCACTTTCAGATGTGTGGTAAGATAACCTTTTCAAAGTGTTTGCGTGATTTATATCTGTTAAACTAATATTATCATTATCACAATTTGAGCTTTCTTTGGAGATAGAGTGTAAAAGAGATGGAATACGACTAGGTTTCGGTGGAGGTATCTCACCGGGATTTTCATCACTGCAGAAGAAATTTTTCCTCTCAAAACAAGGGCTAAGAGCAGGGTCGCTGGTAACTCTTGTTATTTTACCATTTCTCGGCACTGTTAAAATCCCTGAAATGCTCATGTCAGGATTCAGTATTTTACTTCGAGGTAGAGACTGAGAAGAAAATCTGTTGTTCCATGATTCTGAATTATTTAAATTGATCAATTTCATTCCATCTGTAATATCTAGAGAGTTTTGACGAGACAAAGAGCAGTTGCTAATATTGTCTGCAGACAAAAGAGACTGAGTGAGGTGCTGCTTCTTGAATGGCAAGCATGGTGGCGTATCTTTACGCGTTCTTGGTGGTGAGTGAACAGGACTTTTATAGGAATTATAAGTGCTAAGGTTCATCGAGCCTGTTATGTTGTTTTGTGAAGGATATTGGCTTTGAATTTGACAGTGAGCAGTTTGCTGGAATAGATTGTACTTGGTGGCATAGAATGAAAGAGGAAAGAGCCTGTTTCGAGGGGTAGTGATTTTCGCACCCGATGCTACAGAAATGGGTTTACCACTTCCGACATAGTAAGTGATCAAATCTGGCACTGTATCGTAAGCATCATCTTCAAATTGGTATTGAACTCTCTCGTAAACTGTGTCTGGTTGTAAGACGACCTGGAAAAAAAAATAGTCATAAAAATTATAAGAACAAGCGTTTTTTCAAGTTTGTATTCCTTCAGAAAAATCTATGATTGAATTACGCATTGAATCTTCATCCTGGAAGAAATAAAATAAAATTTTCATTTTTTAAAGCTTTCCCTGGTAAAAATTGGCGATAGGAGCTGCGTTTCAAAATACCATAGGAGTTCTTATAGCCGACTGAAGAAGGCTATTGAAAATCATATAGCTGGCTGTAGAAAGCGGAGCAAATCATATAGCCGGGCTATACGAAGCTATAAAAAAGTATACAGTTGGGCTATAGTTCCTATCGCGCCGGGCTTTACAATTTATCGCCATTGGCTATAAAAGGCTATAAGAAATTGTGTAGAAATGCGTGTGCTTTGGAAATCATTAAGTTTGATACGGAACTACCTTAATATTTACAAAACACGCATTATATTTTCCTTTAAAACATATTTTTTTTCATCGATTAAAATGAGAATAATCCATACAGAGTGTGCAAACATTTCAAAATCATGAGTTGAAAAACGCTGACTCCGCGAGATTAAATATTGGAGCCTAACACAAAGCGGAGCGACGACGACGCACTGGCGCCTACAAACCTAACAGGGATACTTCACGCATTGCGCAATGCGTGAAGTATCCCTGTTAGGTTTGTAGGCGCCAATGCGCGTTTCGCGCTCTCTGCCCGCCCGCCGCGCCGCAGCGTGCCACGGCGTCTGAAGCAACTATTTCACACCAGAGGTATTGCACAGTATCATGAGAAATTGAAGGCGCTCCAACTTATTAAGAATGACAGTCATCCTTCAAAAGTACGGAGCTTTCCTCGCAAAATAAATCAAGACATTACGGCACAAAAAGAGAGCGGTAGTCCAAAAACTAACCAAGTCCTAGTATCCGTAATTTGTAAAGTTTAGCATAAACTTCATCGTCTGGCTGTTGCTTAGTCGCCATCGGCTATAAAAGGCCATAAGAAATTGTACAGCCGGCTACAGAAGCTATTGAAAATCTTACAGCTGGCTTTAGGTCTATGGTACCTATATTGGAACACAGATTCTACTGCCAATTTTTACCAGGGTTGGCTTGATTTTTTAATTTCAGAAGACTTTCACCACAAATATTGCAAAGTTAAGGAATAACCACAACTCATATCAACTGGTAAAAGATGTCCAATTTTTTGTTGAAATCATGTCGTATAAGGCTTTTTCAATTGACTCTGAATGTTTCTGTACAAAACTTTAAGTCTCTACGAAATAGAGGACGGATATTTCAAAAATAGTGGTTAAGGGCTTCAAATACTTTGATCCAAAGTAATTTTTGGCGCGTATACGTAGTATACCGCCTTTTGGCGCGTATACGTAGTATATTGGCGCGTATACGTAGTATACCGCCTTTGCGATCGTTTCGAACCCTGCTCGATACAATAACCGAGTCCCTTAGTTCCTTACCGAAAAGTGACTACCGCGAACTTCTGAGATTTTCCAAAGCGTGTAAAAAGTTTATTTATCCAACAATAATTATGATTTAAAGTTGTTTCTCATTCTGGGGGTCGCTAGTTTATGTGCAGTGAATACCAAGAGTCTACGTTACTTGGTTTTTTTAAAAAAAGCGTAAGAATGCGACGCGCTGATTTAAAATATGCATATATAAGCAGAATCAAGCGAACTGATTCGAGGATGGCTGAGCAGGTCGGCACTCTCGGAATGAGAATTTAACTCCTTCGTTTTGTTCAAAACGTTGCTTTGACAGATCTGTAACCTCGGTTATACTTTTCAAAAGTTGGTACC